AGGCGAGGGCGAGTTCGGCATAAATTCACTCAAATTCATCCCATGGAGACAGGCTAATGGTTGTCGGTAGGAAATTTAAGGGTAGATCGCGAAATTTCGGCATAAATTCACTGACATTCACCACTAGGGAGACGGGTACTGAGCGTGTGGTGTCGGAAATAAAGTATAGATCAAGAGACTTTTTGAGTACCATAATGTTCTGGAACGTATTTATAAGCATGTGCAAAGCGTTTGGAACGCCACTCTGGCACTCTCTTTACTATGTGCTTAATCTTTCTAAGGTTTCCTAGGATATAGACCTTTTTGAAACTTTCGAGGTGCTTTCCATCAGGAGGCGAGCTTTAAAAGTTGAGCAGGTTCTATGCAGCGTTTAAATTTGGCCTATCATGGAAAATGCCTAGGAGACTACAAATCCTTCTTGGAGTTTTGTAATGTTTATCTGAAGTGAATGGCTCAGCGTTTCCAATTTATAAAAAAAAAACTCAAGTCATTTAATCCCGTACTTCCTTCGATAGCTTATCGTTTAACGAGTATATTAACTTCGTATTTGTAGGGCAGATATGCGGTTTTCGTTTTTGTTCTTGCGATTATTATTTCCAATTCTCCTAATCGCAATCCGTTATCCGTAGATATCGGGTGTTTCCGGTGGGAAATTGGCCTGTTACGATTTTATTAACCGCATTACTTCCACAAACTCCTCGAGCCGTGATAAATTTCACTTGGCTTGCACGTTTTCAGTCTTTTTTTTAAATACAACAATACACCTGCTGTTTCTAGTCCAGAAACGCTGAGGCAGCGGAAAAACGACCAGGTCGGCAAAATGTGCTCCGGCAAGCCAGGAGTAACTGAAAAACAAGGTAGGGTTTAGGAGGCAAATATTTAACCTGCATTGTCGGTGACAATGCCGGTTTCCTGTGACCCGCATATTTTATGAATATGTATAATTATGGCCTTTTTTTTTGTAAAAGCTGTACGTGTACCTTGCATCGGTCGAACTCCCCCTAGCGCGTCGTAACCATTAAACATTAAAAATCAATTAGTCGCGCCCAAATGTACACGTTTTTCCCCAATTTTCTACTACTTACACCCATCGGTTTTTTTTTCGTTTGAACTTCGCATTTGAATACAATTTCATAGAAATGACCTTTTAACACTTAATAGTATTTGTATTTATGCAAATAACTTAGTCATTATCGCTTTAAAGTCGGACGAGCCTTGGCTGAATGAGAGACGACACCCTTTTTTTTGTAATTGCAAATGACCGGGCATTTAATGCAAATCGACCGCGTGGAGATTTTCTACTTTACCGGAAAAACGAAAATAATAAGCCTTTTGTTTATTCATTTGCATTGCAAAACGGTCGATTGTAGTTCGAAAACGACTTCGGTTGTCTTAATGTATTCGAGCGCGCGCGCGCGCGCATTTGAACCAATAACCTCAATATTTTTCTTGTGTTCGATAACAAAAACGTTTTGTGGCGCTCCCGTAAAAAATGTCATTATTAGTGGAATGGATATGCAAATGAAGCCCATTACTTGAGAATGCGAAGGCATTAGGAAGTTGTGAAAACTTGAGAGTCATACGCGTATAACCGCAACGAACACATTCGTAGGGTGCGGGTGCGTTCAATTAGAATAGATTAGACTACTAGCGTGACGTCATCACTGGTATGCGTATATCCAAAATGCCCCCCCCCCCCACTCTCCACCGCCCCTCGAAAAGATTAGCAACGGACCAAAAAACGAACAAAACTTAAGCGATTGGGCATCGCATTATACTCTTCTAGGGATATTCCATATCCGTTTAGAGACCTTATCACTCTTATGAAAATTACACTCCAGGAAAAAACCTTGTTTTAAGAGAGGGCATCGAATTACTCTTCTGGGGGGTATTCCATACCAGTTTAGAAAGCTCATCACTTACGAAAATTTTCGAGAGGGACCTAGAATCTTCCTTTCCTGGGGGGTGTTCCAGGCCCCCCGGTACCACCTACCCCCAAAATGCTTCGACCGCAAAACACAAGAGAAAGTTGGTACCGAGGGGCCATATAATCTTCCTTTCCTGGAGGTATTCCATACTCACCATACCTTTAGGTACTACATTTACTTCCAAAATGTTTAGAAACCTCAATACGACAGAACGCAGTACCTGGGGATAAGGAACCCCTCGGAAACAAACCCCTTAAGTAATTTTAAGAAAGGGAATCGAAACACTCTTCTCTCTTTGGGGGTATTCCATACCTGCTCAGAAATCTCGTCAATCTTTTAAAAATGTCGAAGGAGGACCACAGATTTTTCCTTTCCTGCGTAAAGGGGGGGGGGGGAGGAGTATTCCAGATCACCCAGTACTACCTTTTCCTCCATTATCTTTAAAGACCGCAACACAACACAAAGTTAGTACCGAGGGGTCTAGGGGATATGGAAAAACCCTTATTTGTAAGACAGGGATTATATCACACTTCTTTAGTCTGGGGAGTATTCCAGATCCCCAGGTACTACCTTTTCCTCTAACATGTTTAGCGACCATAACCCAGAAAGTTAATAGCGGAGGGTCTGGGAGGTATGGAATACATCTCAGGAAAAAAACCGTTATTTTAAGATGGAGCATCGAATTACTCTTCTGGGGGGTATTCCATACCAGTTTAGGAACCTCATCACTTATGAAAATTTTCGAGAGGGCCATATAATCTTTCTTTCCTGGAGGTATTCCATACTACCATACCTTTAGGTACTACATTTACTTCCAAAATGTTTAGAAACCTCAATACGACAGAACGTAGTAACTGGGGATAAGGAATACCTCGGAAACAAAAAATTCCTTTAGTAATTTTAAGAAAGGGCATCGAAATACTCTTCGCTCTTGGGGGGGGGGGAGTATTCTCTTCAGAGAGCTCGTCGATCTTTTAAACATTTCGGAGGACCACAGAATTTTCCATTCCTGGGGAGGGGGGGGGGGTCGAGGGACCCTCTGGTACTACTTTCTGTGCTGTTGTGGAATTGAACAGTTTTGAACACAAAGATAGTACTGGGAGTCGGGGGACAGTGGCATATCGCCAGGAAAGAAGCCTTTATTTTTAAGAGATGTCGAGTTAGCCCCCCCCACACCTCCCTATACTGTAGCATTTACCTCGAGAGCTTTACTATCTTTATCTCCAAAATGTTTGGAGACCGCAACATATAACAGAAAGTTAGTATCAGGCCTTTTGGTGCTGCCGGGTCAGGTTCCCTTTATGAAATAAAAATAGGATCTGGAATACCCCCCAGGACAATTACCCTTATTTTTAAGAGAGGGCACCGAATCACTTCTGTGGGGCACTCCATACCCGTTTATGAGACCTCATCACTTTTATGAAAATTTGGAGAGAGCTTCTTCTTTCCCTCTGGGGGGCATTCCATACCCCCAGCCCTCTCAATGCTACTTTCACGTCAAAAATATTTAAGGCCTGGGGAGTCTGTAGGGCATGGAAAGCACCCCGAGACAAATCCCTTATTTTTGAGAGCATCGAATGGCATTACTCTTCCTACCTTTATCTCCAAAATGTTTAGAGATCGCTATACAGAAAGTTACTACCATACCAGAGTAAGGGGAAAAACCCTTATTTTTAAGAGAGTCTAACCCTTTTTCTTCTGGGAGGTATTTCATACCCATTTAGACACCTCATTATTTTTATTGAAATTTTGTAGGAGAGCCATAGAATCTTCCTTTCCTAGGGGATATTCCATACCCCCTAGACCCCCGGTACCTCCAAACAGTTTAGGGGTCGCAACAGAAAGTTAGTACCGGTGGGGGTCTGGGGAGTATGGAATACCTCCCAGGATAAAACCCTTATATTTAAAGAGGGGGGGGATGTCATATAATCGTCCCTTTGCTGAGGGACATAATGGCCTTATGCCTCTTACCGAGGCACGTGGGCGCAGTGGATGCACTCACCGATGCTATTCGGAAGGTTGTGGGTTCGAATCCCGCTGCCGACTGCTCTGTCTGGGGTTTTGTCAGGGGGTTTTCCTCAGACATACGTAGCTTCGCATAATGCTAGCATTATGTTGAAATCTACGAGGCGAATGCTGGAGCAGTACTCTCCCCCTCAGCACCCTAACTCCGTTCCTTCCGTTCCAATCCCTAACTTTACCCATCCTTACAATCCCGTTCTCTGGCTGAAGAGGGCCAGGAAGCCCTGAGCAGCCCGCCTCCGGTATCCCTGTAGTCAGGGGTGCCGGAGGAATGAAACACGTTGGCCTTTCCTTATGCCTCTTAGGAAAATAAAGGTTCAATAGTGAGGCAATATTGAAGAACAGCGCCTTCCATTGACCATTTTGGATTATGTTAGTGACAGTTTTGTTTAAATTTCGAGCGAGATAGACTAGAATTTTTCTTTCTCCCAGACAAGGACGATTCAATCTCCCCACCCCTACCCCCTCTTCTAGTTTATCATGGGAGTGGCGTTCTCAAACGCCTTTAACCGAAAAATAAACATGTAGCATCAATAAATCAGTATAAGGAATCTGGCTGGTAGGGAATGCTACCCAGAAGATACCCCCCTTTCTATTTTTTTGTACCAAAAAGTTAAGACCTGGGTACCCTCATCATTATTCCGAAAGAGGGCCATTGAATCTTTTTTCTCTTGGTGGTATCCCCCCCTCCCTCCCGAGAACCATCCAATATATTAGTATTGAGGGGTCTAGGAGTATTCCTCCTGGAATAAGAGTGACGTTCTTTAAAAGTAATGGTCCTTTCCGGGTGGGGTGGGGGGAGGGGGATTTCATCGATCATCATTTGTTTGCATTGATATTGATTAATAAATTAAAAAGTTGTCGGTAGAACCGGGGGGTGGGTGGGGGGCAGAGTTAAAGATAAGATAACTTTATGTCGAACGAATACTCCTAAATAACGAATAGACCTCCTAATTAAAACTGGGGAGAAGAGATGAAGGGGGCTTCCTGGAAGGGGGGGGGGTGCTATGCCTCCCAGACTGTAGTAATAATGTATATCTTTCTTTCCAGCAAAACGCGGCACAGAATGAAAACCACTGGTCTTGGGACGCTTCCAGCAACGAATCGACCAGTAAACGCGACACCACCCTCGTCCAGGATCTGCGCAACAAAGTTGATCTTCTCGAAAATGAGAAAAAGGAGCTGGTCCATAGTCTGGAGCAGCTCGACGTTGATCATCAGCAGACCACGGCGGAATTGGTCGCGCTAAGGGATAACCTTCAGAAGAGGCACGACGAGCTGTCGGCGGATTTCGAGAGGTTAAAAAGGGAATACGGGGAGGTGCTGACGGAAAATATGGAAAAAACTAAGCAAATCGAGCTGATAAGGAACGGCGAAGCCAGGGAGGGCGATTTGGACTCGGCAAAGCTTCAAGCTGAGTGTCACACGATTAGGGAGAGTTACCGTAAGGTCGAGAAGGAGAACGAGGAGTTACTGGCGAAGTTGAGCGGCACCACCCGAATTTCTCGCGAGACAGATCGGAGGACGTGGGAAAAATTTAAAGGGGAGAAAAACGCCATACGGAGCATGCTGGCGAAGGTGAAGGAAGACTTCTTGTCACTTACCGAAGATGTTCGCGGTATTTCCGAGGTGCAGCGATCGTTGCAAAGATTTCAACGTTGCCAAAATGTCGAAAATTCGAAAAGGCACGTCAAATATCTGGGAATAATCACAGAGTGTTTGGAAAAGTACACCAGCGTCGATCCGGCGTCCGCGCTTTCTTCAATTATCACCGGCGAAGATCCGCAAATCGTCGAGTTCGCTAACGAGGTCGAAAATCTCCTAAAGCTCCTCATTGACTTCAAATCGAAAACCGAGTCCCTCGAGGAGGAGATTTGCGGAATTACTAGGGAGAAATCGAAGGTGGTCAACGAGAAAAATTTCGAAATCGAAAAGCTTCTCCAAAACTCCGAGATACTCAGTCAGGAGGTGATCGCGAAGACGCAAGCGCTTAAGGACTACGAGACCGAGTGCAACGAGCTTATGAAGAACAATGACTTGCTCATTCTCGAGCTGGAGAACTTCAAAAACAGCCGGCTGCAGACCATTTCCGAAACGAACGAGGAAAACATGCTACTGATGGAATCGCAGCTTGAGAACGCGAACAAGAAGATCGAAGACATGGAGTTGATTATAACCGATTTGGAGACCTCCAAGCAGGAGACCAATGAGGAGGTGCAAACGGAACTCGACTACATTAAGCGCCAACTGAATATCACCGGGCAGGAGCTTAGCGAAACTAAGACCGACCACCAAGAGTTAAAGATCCAGTGTAGCCGTTTGGAAGAAGAAAAACAGTCTCTGAAGCAAGCTTTGGACAAGGCGAGGGTGGATTACGAAAACATGGAGTACAAGTGTAATGAGGCGTTCGTCGCCTTGGAAAGTGTGAGGGAAGAAAATGAAGAATTGAAACGAAGCACTGGCGAAGATAAGGTCGAACAGTTTGAAGCCGTGGTGAGCGAGCAACGCGATCGGTTGTCAGCACTGGAAGAGCTTACCAAGGAGCAGGCGAACGAAATTCAAAGTTACACGGAGCGTTTGCAAAGAGCCAAAATAACCGAAACCGGCGCGAAACTGCAAATCGACACCATGGGGAAGGAGCTCCAAAGCTCGCAGGAGGCCAGGCGGATGCTCGAGGAGAAGCTCGACCATTTACAGCGGGAGTACACTGCCGCCGTGGAGGAGCGGTCGACGCGCGAAGAGCTGCAGAACCACGTCGCGCTTTTGGAATCGCAGCTCGAACAATCGTCAGCGGCGCGCAACGAACTCGCCCAGTTGCTCACGCAGAAGCACGACGAAAACGTGCGATATCACGCGGAGATCGAACGGCTCGCCTCCGAAACCGGACCGGAGCTCATCGCCAACAAAGATCGCGAAATCGAAAAGTTAACGGACCAAAACAATTTCCTGCGGGAGAAGTGCGAGGTCATGGCCCAAAATCTCCTCCAGGAGCAGGCGAACGTGAAAAAAATCGTCGGCGAGCAATCGTCCGCGTCGGCGCTCACTAAGGAGCTCGAACGATTGCGCATGCACCTCGTCGAAGTTGAGGAGATGTACACCCAGGAGCTGGTGCAGGCCGAACAGAAGAACAAGGAGATGCAGGCGAAGGTCAACGAGATCGAGGCGCGCGAGAAGAATTCGAATTACGTCTACACGTCGGCGAATATTCGCGCCAACCAGCAGGTGGAGACGCTGCAAACGCAGCTGCAGCTCGTCGGCAATCAGCGAGACGAGCTGAGGGTAAAAATTTCAGATATCGAGGATGAGAACAACAGGCACGTTGCCGCATTGACGAACCTGCAGCTTGTCTTGGAGCAATTTCAGAAAGGTAAGATATTTTCTTCGCCTACCCGGAGAATCTATGAGGACCTTTGTATCAAGAGAACATGTTGAGCAAAAAATAATGGAAAGAAAGCGCTTTAATTATTTTCACGTACTGACACTGAAAGGTTGCATTTTCATAGCTACAAAATGTTACCCCCAGAGATCTTCCTCGCAGAGCACTTTTGGTCCTTTCTAAAGCTTTCTAAGTGACTGACAGAGTTCCGCAGACCTTTTCACTTTTTTTTTTCTGGGGAAATTGTGCTTAATTTTTGGAATCCTCTAGCTATTACATTAAATGCTATTAAAAACACTCTCCTGCTCTGTGACCGGTAGTTCTACTGCATTATAAATTGGAATAGTAAAGTCACTAGATATAGAAAGTACCGCAATCATCCGCCATTTTTGGGCAAATTTGCTGCCAACTTAAAAAAATTGACTAATAAAATCTGAATAGCTGTCATTTTTTATAACCTAACTTCATAGTACTGTCATGTTTTATAAAAATATATACAGATATCTCCAAACAGGTGGAACAATCCCTAACATTAAAGTTACTAGAATCTGGTAATTTCCGCCATTTTTAGGCAAAAATCATGCGTTCTCTCTCTAACGCACGAGCCTAATGGATTGCGGTACTTTCTATATTTAGTGACTTTATGGAATAGTACAGTACTGTTAATTTTGTACCAATTTAATGCCGTTTGGGCCACCTAATGCTCCACCGATTTTGCGAATTTTGGTGATGCCTATCCCTTACCAAAGGTGACTTCTGTTTTGGATTAGTGACATCTGAATGCCCGTTGAGCTGCGCAATTCACCTTAACCTTTTAATATAAAATTAGGAAGAAGTCTAGCCTAATGGGAACTTGTGGTTCCGTGACAATCGGGGGAGAGGTAATTGCGTTTGCACTGAAGATTTCAATACTGTAATCTTTTGTTGGTACGTAAATACTAGTCACGCGCACTTTAAATGAAAACGCTGCCGATACCAATTGGGATACAAAAAATTTTATAGAACAAAAATTAGAGACAATTAAATGTACTACAAAAAAGTCCGACACGGCATATATCTATCTTTAATCGTTTAGCCATATCAACCATTTAAAGTTGCGCATCTTGATTGCGTTGGCATTCATAGTCTTTGATTGCTTATCATATATTAAGGGTTGAAGATACATATATGCCATCGCGGACTTTTTTGTAGGAAATTAAATTCTCTACAATTTATCTTTTATAACTTTTTTTGTATCTCTTTTTGTTTTCTGAGCGTTTGTAAAAAAATGTACGCACATCTTAATTTTGAACTTTTAATAAACTTTTTAGTTAAAAAAGAATCTGGCGTAGGTACGACTCGAACCCTTGACCTACATATTGTTATAATTTCAGGTGCTTTTGGGGGTTCCGGTTGGGATGATCGAAGCGTTGTAAAAAATGAAACTGTCGTTATTTTTTTCACATTCTGCTCAAAGCGCAAGGGAAATATGCGAAAATGGGAAAAAAATGATGTTCTTATTTTTATTATTAGTGCAATTCACATATTATCGAGCTCCTTGAGGTATAATAAGGAAGGCCCTTTTGACATCTCCGTGAGTTATGAACTGAATTGCCAGAAATTCAATATGGGCATAGCTTTAGCCATGCAAAAGCAATGGCAAAAGTTGAGCCTAATCGATTCAAAATGCATAGTGCTCTTTTGGTATCTCGGCCATATATGAACCGAATTGCAAACTTTTTTTAATTTATAAATGTATTTAAATGACATTTGATACATATGCACTTGGTTTTGCGCATGCAGAGTGCCAACTTATTTATTTATTTATGAACATAGGTTACCCCAATAACAATGTATTGTTAATAAAAAAACTATTCGAAAACATAAAGAATATAAAAAATATATGTTAAGTTAAGAATATTAAAATAAAAAAAAACAAAAGAAAAAAATGCTGTGAAAAATTTTTTACAGTCCTTGGATATTGTCACACGATCTTTCAAACTGTCTTAGGGACATATAAAAATACCTATGGTGTTCTTCCATAAACGCACACTATTATAGAACGCATTTTTGAAATTTTATACATATGCACTTGGAATAAAAGCAAATCTAACACCAGGTTTAATTTGGTTTTGCACATACTATAGCCATACCCAAGAGCTCTTTGCTATATTTTTTACACAGTAATTTTTACCCATACTAATAATACACTCTCAGAAGGGCGCGAAGCAAAGCCCTATAATTCATCAAAAGTATGGTTTGGGCTCAACACTCAGCACTCAACAAGACCAAATGTACTCTATGTAAAAAAATCCGCTGAATTTGAAAATCTAATCCCCTGGCCGGAAACTCTCGAAATATATTGTTATACAGAAAAAACGAAGAAAAAAATGGGAAAATGTTTTTTTTCGCATTTGACTGCAATTATCTCGCCGAGTGAAAAAATGAAGAGAAGTGATATTTTTTATGAACTTTTCCATTTTTTTTCCGGTGAGGTATTCAAGTGAATTTGTTTAGAATCGAATTGTCTGTGTAGACCATACATTTAGTATGGAACGTTCATTCTTAATTGTTATTGTTTTTTATGGAGAAATATAAAAAAACGCATTTCCGAAAATTAACAATCTGTTATTACTGAGTAAAATTCATCCAATCTTTTTGAAAATCCGTATTTGGTCCCTTCTTTTGATAACAAAACAATACGACAAACCCGATCACCGTAGGTATCATAGCCATTGATTAAATAAACAAACAAATTGGATAACTCTCATAGCGTTCTAAATTTTTGTACAGATGGTGGAACCCCAAAGTAACCTTTTCCAAAAGTTGTCTCGATGATTTCTGCAAATTGACGGACGGATTTCGACGTATTTTTTTTTAAATTTAGGTACATTTTCCGAGAGGTTTCTGTTCGCCTATTATGGAGTCACATTTCTTGTTATATTTCGGAAATTATTCCATTTGTTAACTAGCAAAAGTCTTCGGATTTTGAAAAAAAAATTTTGACAGTCCATCGATTTGCAAGAATCATCGGGACAATTGTTGGAAACGGTTTGCTTAGGGTTCCACTAGCGGAAAGAATTGGGGGAGAATCTGGGAGTCACCCACTTTGAAAGACAAAGCATGGATTTTTTAATTTGTATTTTAAATTAATCAATGACTATGATATCTACGATGATCGGGTGATCGGTTGCCGTATTGTTCCGTTATCAAGCTACGGATAATATAAAAGATAGGATGAATTTTGCTTAGTAACAGATTGTTAATTTTCGGGATTACTTTTTTTATATCTTTCCATAAAAAAACAATAACTTTTGAAAATGAATGTTCCATACCAACTGTATCTTATAGAAAATTCGATTCTAATCAAATTCATTTCTCTTCATTTTCTCTCAGAGCAATAGATAACGAGATAATTGAAGTCAAATGCAAAATTTTCCCATTCTTTCTTCGTTTTTTACGTTTTATATCAATTATACAGAATGTTATGCATATACAGAAATTATTTTTGGATGTACAGAGTGTCTCATGTTTACGGTGTCAATACACAGCTGATTTTTTTAAATGGAACAGCATGTTTATTTTTAGCTAATTCGATGTCATTTTAACCTCTGCAGTCCAAATTATTAATTTTTTTCGAATAATTCTCTATAAACCAGCCCCACTTTCATAAATCGTAGCGACCTTGATTTTAAAGTTAAGAAATAGAAATCAATAATTTTAATCTGAATAAAAGGCAACACTTTGGTAATGAGGAAGTTGAATTTAATGATACAGAGTGTTTACAAAAAAATTGTAAAATTTCTAGATTTCAAAATGCTATAACTATTTTTATTCAAATGGAACTACCACTATTTTATTTCTCTATTCGATGGTCTGTGGTGCGCTCTTCAATTCTTAGAAGGGATATCCTGTGCCTGAACCCCGTAGTTTTTAAATTATTCAATATTTTTCACTAAACAGTTACACATTAATGAATTACATGTTTATAAACAAAAGTAAACCGTGATAATAAAAAACCAAAGAATGCCAAGTAGTAAACAAGTGCCATAAATTAATTGTTTGCTGCAAGTGTAGGTACTCATTTTTTCCTAGTAAAATAAGATTTTTTAAAAAGACTAGTTCGAAATTCGCCTTTTTATTAATCTTATTTTACTACGAAATAGGGAGCACATTAATTGCAGCAGATAATTTACTTGTGACACTTGCTTACTGGAATTCTTTTGGTTTCTATTATCACTGCTTACTCGATCCTGTTTATAAACATGTAATTCATTATTGTTTTGTGGAAAATATTGAATAACCTAAAAACTAGGGGGTTTAAGCACAGGATAAAACTTAAATAGCACACAAAACCCTATCACGTACAATCAAATTGCTCACAACCTTTGAATTTTAGATTCAGTCACAAAACGAAAGGTACAAACATTTACTTTCAAACGCTGTGAAAACGAAACTTCGTACAGAAAAACTAATAAAATGTAGAGAATTTAATTTCCTACAAAAAAGTCCGCGACGGCATATATGTGTCTTTAACCATTAATATATGATAAGCGTTCAAAGATATTATTGAAACCAACGAGGACACTAGGTACAACTTTAAATGGTTGGTAAGGCTAAACGATTAAAGATAGATATATGCCGTCGCGGACTTTTTTATAGTAAATTTAATTGTCTACAATTTTTGTTCTATGAAATTTTCTGTGTCTAAATTGGTATTTGCAGCGTTTTCAATTATGTACGCGCGCCTATTATCAACATAAGAGTACGGTAACAAATCAATGAGTGCAAGTGGGAGAGTTCAGGCTATCTTTGTCCTACATATAAAACGCTCTGTAGTAAGGAAGAGCAGTGACTGCCTTCGGAAAGCGTGCATATAAATCTAAAGGTACTTTTCACGTGGCTCCATCTATCGCTCAAGGTACTTTTAGAGACCCACGCGAAAGTACAGGCTTAGACTTCTTCCTAATTTTATATTCAAAGCCTTAACGAAATAACGTTTGTATATGTTCAATCCGTTGCAGAGAAGGAGAAAGACGTCTTCAACGAGACGGAAAGAATTCGTCGGCAAATAGTGCTGGAACAAAGGGTCCAAGACGCGCTGCGGGAAGAAAACGGCAATCTAAGGGCGCAACTCGACGAGAGCAAGCAGGGCCTGCAGGCCGCCGCGCGTCTCACCGACCAACTGGAAAAATCTAAAAAACACATAAACGCCCTGAAGGAGGAAGGTAACGCAACCGTAAACGCGTAAAGTTAGCACGCGCTTTTAATTATAATTAGCGATTTCGGTAAACGAAACTCTTTGAGAGAGAGCAGTAACGTTGGTTTTTTTTACTTAATTTGTAGTCGAATGGTCGCACGTGAAATATCAGCTGGTAATTCTGGGTATTTCGAGTCCCAGAGTATCGACTGATATTAACACGTTCTACCGTACCGCCTCACACCAATCATCGTAGTTTGAAATTAGATTTCACTTCATTTTTTGCATTTTCTTGTAAGTAAAGTTGATGTGTTTGCGCAGAATCTTGACGTAGTTGTTTATGGTCAAAGCCAAGCGAAAAGTGTGGACTCACGTCCCCCATTTCTACCTCCAACTTCTAACTTACGATTCAGAATTGAATTTTGTAATTTTGGAGTCTCGCGTCACTGCAAGCTTGAGTTTAAACTGTGACGTCCACACCTGCGCTAATTTTTGGTCATAAATAATGCGCAGTGCCAGTTTTTTTATCCTTCGCTTTCTAGTCCCAGTCTTTTATTACCGCAACAACAAATACGCACCAATTTCGCATATCGCAGCGTTAATTTTTTTGTAGCATCCGCACGCACGCTCGCACTCAACTCGCTTGACTGTGTTTTCTTAATCTCATTTGGTAACTGTGAGGTTAGTTATAATTCCGCCTCAGTTTACTAAGTGAGGTAAAATGAATACAGTTAGAGCTTCACCAATTCTTTTGCAACGTTTTTGTCTCATTTTTTTGTCGCCTCGTTTGTGCCGTCTTGTACCGATAATTTTGTTTTTTGACTTTTTTAGGTTTTTTTTTTGCAGCATGAGCGCATGTCTCTAGAGGGAATTTAGGCTGTGAGTATTACATCAGGTACTGGTTTGTTTAGAATGATCGGTTCCTGTGTAACACTTACAGGCTGGTTTTCGTAGTCGTCTCGGCGTCAGTTTGTATTATTATTTGATAGCCGCGCGGCCGTACCGGGGACAACTAACGTATTTTTGTGATTTGCAGTGGCGAAGCTCCAGGAGAAATTGCAAGTGAGAGATAGCAGCTACAGGGAGCTTCACGCTCAGGCCGACACCAAGATCGATAAGAGCTTGATCAAGAATCTAATCATAGGTTATGTCTCGTCGAGCGCAAACGATCAAAAGCAGATCTTAAAAATCATCGCGACCGTCCTAGACTTTAACAAGAAGGAGAACGAGAAAGTCTTGCTGAGTAAACAGCAACATTCCGGCTGGTTGGCCTCGATTTTGAGCTCGAACGCGGCGGCTAACGACCAGAACCAGCAGTCGCTGTCCGCCGCGTTCGTCAGATTTTTAGAGGACGAATCGCGGCCGAAGGTTCTACCTAATCTACTGGCGTCCAACCGCTCGGAGGCGAGCGGCAGCAGCGCGTCGAGCACGCCGCCTCCTAGCCAGTCGCCACTAATTTTAAGCGAAGTGGTGTTGCCGACGTTTGTCGATTTCGCCAAGAGCAGAAACTCGAGCGCGATACTGAAGGACGTCCTTAAGGATAATACATAAGGGGGCGTTCCCGTCCGGTTTGCCAAGACGATTGTTATTTTTTATACAAAAGTTTTAATAATATAATTTATTGTTGTAAAAAAGTATTAATGTATATATGGAAATAAATATTTTACAATGTTTTGAGTTGAGTTGCACTACCCCCTCCTTAAAATTATCTACCTTGTTTAATCATACCATGGGGGGAAAGGGAGCCAAACGGTTTTCAGGTTTGGAACTGAGGAAAGTATCTATCCCAGGACCATGACACTTGGCTTCCCTGAAACCCTGCGAGTTCGTAAAGGGTTGAGGGGGACATCATATGTTAGGAAACCTAAAGTCACTAGATATAGAAAGTACCGCAATCATCCGCCATTTTTGGGCAAATTTGCTGCCAACTTAAAAAAATTGACAAAATCTGAATAGCTGTCATTTTTTATAACCTAACTTCATAGTACTGTCATGTTTTATAAAAATATATACAGATATCTCCAAACAGGTGGAACAATCCCTAACATTAAAGTTACTAGAATCTGGTAACTTCCGCCATTTTTGGGCAAAAATCATGCGTTCTCTCTCTAACACACGAGCCCAATGGATTGCGATACTTTCTATATTTAGTGACTTTAAGGAAACCTACACAAGTTTTTGCGGTCTATTTTCGTACCTAATTTACTCTGTATGACTTTCCCTGGAAACCAGGGAAGTTTTCTTTTTTCAAAGCCCAAGGAGCGTTTTTACACCTTATGTTCATTTAAAACTGGTATCAGGAGCATATGTTGCGCGAGGTGGTGTTTTTACTTCTAATCCATTGAGTTTCAGATAGGAAAATGTAAATTTTCGCTGGATATCGGGAGAATTGGAAGCACATGAATGTTCCATTTCAATTTTATCTAAGAAGAATACGTGAAGAAGGCTTCAAGAAGATTTGAGGGAGGCGTGATAAAGGTGTGGGACGGGCGTGACGAAGACTTGATGGAGATGTAAAGAAAGCTCGAGGCTGGCTGGTATGAATAGGATGAGGCGTACAGAAAGCTCGCTGTGGGCGTAAAAACGATTCAAGGGAGGTATAGGACAGCGTGCGTGAATAAAGTGCAAAAAACATGAAGAAGGCACAAAGATGACTAGAGGGAGGCGTGAAGAAGGCTCGAAGGGGATGTGAATAAAACGTAAAGTAGGCACGAAGGAGGCTTGCGGAGAATTTGAAGAAGGCTCGACGTAGGCGTCATCAAAGCTTGAAAAAAGGGTGAATATGAGGGAGGTGGTGAGACGTCGCAGTGTAGAGAAGAGCAGTGTGAACTCGGAAATGTGAAGAATACCTTCTGAAGTTTTTGAAAGAGACGCGAAGAAGACTGAGAAGATGCGGTTTGTAAGGAGACGTGAATAAGGCTTGAAGAAAGCTCGAAGGAGTAGTGAGGTAGTTTCGAAAGAGCTATGAAGAAGATCAAGGGAGGCGTGACGAAAGCTCTTGAGGAGGCGGGAGGCGCCCTTTCCGGAGCAAGCGTGAAAAAAAGGGGACTAGAAGAAGACCAGACAGAGGGATAAAGAGATGTGATGAAGGCGTGAAGAAAGCGAGAATTAGGTTTGGAGAGGCTTGTCGTTCTAGGGAGGCGTGAAGAATATGCGAAAAGATACTAAGGAGGTGTGAGGCAGTTTCGAAAGGGGTGAAGAAGATTTGAAGGTGTGAAGAAAACCTGATGGAAACGTGAAAAAGACTATCTATCAATTCACAGGGGAACCCGACCAGGCATCACTCACTTAGAATAGTTAGTTGTGATTATGACAGGAAGACAGCGCGAGGACGACTCGAAGAAGGCCTGAATATGACTAGAGGAAGGAGTGAAGAAATCGTAAATAAGTTCGAAGGGTGCGTGAAAGGCTCGAAAGAGTTGATGCGTTAAGAAAGGTGCAATGGGACGTCTCAAGTTGACATACACTGTACATGCCCATTGTGGCCGCAACATGAGCCACTGCCACTAATAAAAAAATTAAAATGGCGGATTGAAAGATCGTCTGTCAAATTCACGTAAACATTAAATTAGTTTTATTTAAATTAAATTCCACTAATTACGATGTAATTTATTAACGTAATTATTTGTAAACGATGGCACAAGGTGTTCTCAGCTCCGATATTTCGAGGAGGAATCCTCAAGACGAATACGAGCTGATACAAAGAATTGGGAGTGGAACTTATGGTGATGTATACAAGGTAAGGCCATATTTTTGTCCTATTTAGAGTTAACGCACTTGACGCAGGCGAAACGATTGTCCACCAACGACCTGGCAGCGATTAAGGTGATTAAATTGGAGCCGGGCGACGATTTCGGCACGATACAGCAGGAAATTCTAATGATGAAAGACTGTCGGCATTCTAACATAATCGCTTATTACGGAAGCTATTTACGAAGGGACAAGCTGTGGATTTGCATGGAGTACTGTGGCGGGGGATCTTTGCAGGATATCTATCATAGTAAGGCGTTTGTGCATTGCTTTTCGTACCAAATCGAAGGGTTTATAGTTACCGGTCCGCTGACTGAGCTGCAGATCGCGTACATGTGTCGCGAGACGCTGATGGGGCTGATGTACCTGCACACGATGGGAAAGATGCACCGGGACATCAAAGGCGCGAACATTCTACTCACGGAGACGGGGGACGTGAAATTGGCCGATTTCGGCGTGTCGGCCCAGATCACCGCAACGATCAATAAACGAAAATCGTTCATCGGCACTCCCTACTGGATGGCGCCCGAAGTACGCACCTGCGACGTGCTTAATCGAGATTAATCGGCGAATTTCAGGTGGCGGCCGTCGAGAGAAAGGGCGGCTATAATCAGCTGTGCGACATATGGGCGATCGGGATTACCGCGATCGAGCTGGCTGAACTCCAACCGCCCATGTTCGACCTGCATCCGATGCGCGCCCTGTTTTTAATGTCGAAGAGCGGTTTTAAGCCGCCGACGCTGAAGGACAAGGACAAGTGGAGTCCGACGTTTCACAATTTCGTTAAGGTCGCGCTTACGAAGAATCCGAAGAAGCGGCCCACCGCTGAGAAATTGTTACAGGTAAACGGGGACCACTCGTGTACATATTTATAGTGGGTGACTTTTAGCACGCGTTTTTCCAAGGAGACATGCATCGTCGTCTCGTGCTCGAACTGTTACAGAAAGTGAGCAATCCCTCGCACATGTTTACGGATTTGGAGCCGGACGAGGACGGGGTGAGTTATCGATAGATTAAGCGAGATCTAATTGGCTTGTCTTGTAGTCGGTTCCGAATGTACCGCAGCGTATCGCGTCACGACTGACCTCCCGTCCGAAAATGCGACATGTCACGCATTCATCGGACGATATTGAAAGTATCGACGAAGCGAATAATACTCTGCAGAGGGCGGGTAAGTAATTTCTAATTAGATAATAAAAGGTTCGATATTGGTTTGTTTTTTAATCAACCAATAGGGGACAGTACCCACGAAATTACAGATTCCTGTATTTACTAAGCCAGTGGTTCTCAACCTTTTGACACTGCAAGCTTGAGTATTTTTCGGATTCTCCTATGAACTGTATAGTTGCTTCTTCTCTTAAGATTTTTTGACTTTGATAAGACATACGCCCGGCTCCGGCGGCTTCGCCGCCTCGCCTCGCTCTGGTTTGTAACGGTCCATAGCTCAGCTTCGCCTCACACTGGACATTGTATCGCATTTTTGAAAGAAATAATCTAAAATGATTCATGTTTCCTTTGTTTAATGCTAACATCAATTTCTATTATCTTAATGATAAACTGAAATAATTAATTTTATCTTAATGATAATTTAAAATCATTTTTTTTATCTTGTTGATAATTTTAATTCCATTCCGCCATTTAAAATTATCTGAGATAAAATTAAATGGCGTCGTGCGCTGCCTTTCTCTCTTTTTCCCTATAAAACAGCGTATTGCCATCTCGCTATGACTTGCAAAGGTGGCCATTTAAAATTATCTAAGTTAATCGTAAATGGCGGAAGAATTAAATTGATCTTGTTCATAATTTAAATTTTGCTATTTAAAATTATCAAGATAAAAAAATTATTTAAAATTATCATTATGATAAAAATAATTATTTTATTTTATCAAATATGATTTATTTTTATCAATAACATAATAAAAATGAATATTTTTTATCTTGTAGATAATTTTGATTCTTCTATTTATATTTATCTACAAGATAAATTGAAATAGTTTGTATAAACTTATCATTAAGATAATTTTAAATAGGCAAAATGAAATTATCTACAAGATAAAAATATTCTTTTTTATTATCTTGATAAAAATAATTCATATTTGATAAAATAAAATAAATATTTTTATCATAATGATAATTTTAAATAATTTTTTTTATCTTGTTGATAATTTTAAATAGCAAAATTTAAATTATCAACAAGATAAAAATAATTATTTTTTCATTATCAGCAAGATAAAAAAAATGATTTGAAATTATCATTAAGATAAAATTAATTATTTAATTTTATCATTAAGATAATAGAAATTCGGGCAAAACTTTACTTTATGATTATAGTATTGTTGCACATTAAATGTTAAAACGGCGTTCTATATATATTGGAGATTGTTTCTAAAGTAATCGTTTAGTAGCAAAAAATCCAAAGAATATCACCGACAAGTGCCCATTTTGATTAGATTTTTAATTTTCACTTTGGCGTCGTAGTTCGGAGACGCTTTTCAACTTTTTATGGCTATGATACGATAGTCCCATCCTTCTTCTTTCGTTCGCCGTGCCAACCGCTTGAATACCTTGAAATTCATAATTATTAATTTTTTTTGTAAAGTATGCAAAATTCGCAAAATGAAAATTTGCCCGTATGACCAAAACGGTGCATTTTTCTTAATGAGATTTTGATATTTTTGCAATCCACGTATATAAGATAACGTCAAAAAGCGACGATTTTTGAAAAATTTTTTCTTCGATTTTTCCGTGGGAAAGATATGAAAATTTTATCATTTTGTAATTTTTCGCATAACTTAAGACGAAATAGTAGTACCTATTATTTTTAACGAACCACCCTGGCCCACTGGTTGAGAACCAACGCATGAAGGTTGAATTTCTTAAAATTTTGGCAGTATAGCGCGCACTACTAAAAAACAATAGAGCGCACATGCGCAATGTGTGGTTTAATTTCCAACAGTGCAACTATAACTTCAAAACCCACTGTAGAAATCTGTACTTCGTCGGTACTGAACCAAAAAACCCTGGTCTCACTCTCAATCGGTTGGACATCTCAACTGACTGTTTAAGTAGGTCCCTCCAACGATGGCGTTGGTGACCAGTCGAAGGTCTGGGACATAATGGACATTATGAACAACGTGACGACCGTTCACAATTGCGCCGAGCACAAGAATCAAAAGTGCGGGATCGGCAACGCTTTCGACTCGTTAAATCGAGAAAAGTGAGTATGCTCGACGCAAAAATCAATTTGAGTCTCGATTGTGTGCTTTGCTTGTGTCTCGTGCATCCATCGATTATTATTATTATTAATTTTTGTTCTCCTTCTAATTTGAGACTTTAAAGACGTGTTTCTTTTCTTTAAAGTTCGGAAAGGCGTGCCATGACGGGGACGCAAATTTTGAAAATGTCGCTAAGGTAGAGAGACGTGTGTTTTCGTTTTACGAATTTAGATTAACATGCAACTCTCGTTCGTTCTAACGAAACGTTTTAGACTTAAATTGCGATTTCGATTTATGTCTAAAACGCTGCGTCTTTTTAGTTTGTACGTAGGTAGAACGAGACTTTTAACCAAGTAACGATTTATATTAATACAAATCGATGAGGTCATTTAATTCGTCTCGCTGATGTCGGCACAGTAGGAGATTCAGCCACGGTTCCAGAGAGGGCGCTCCACAATTTCACCATGTAAAGTCACTAGATATAGAAAGTACCGCAATCATCCGCCATTTTTGGGCAAATTTGCTGCCAACTTAAAAAAATTGACAAATAAAATCTAAATAGCTGTAATTTTTTATAACCTAACTTCATAGTACTGTCATGTTTTATAAAAATATATACAGATATCTCCTAACATTAAAGTTACTAGAATCTGGTAACTCCCGCCATTTTTGGGCAAAAATCATGCGTTCTCTCTCTAACTCATGGGCCCAATGGATTGCGGTACTTTCTATATTTAGAGACTTTATCACCATGTTGTCAAAGGTTTGTCTCCAATATGGCAACACTGCAGCATCATAATTAAATTGTAAAATCCTGTCACGTTCTCCGATGTCTAAGTGAAGATTTTGCTGTATTTATAATAAAAAATATTTTTGATTGGTGCAACGGGACAGCCTGTATATCATTGCGAGAGAGCTTAAATAACCTCATTGACGTGATTCAATTAACCTCCTTAGTTGGTAGTTTAATTTGAAAATCTAATTTCGGCTTTCATTTACTTTTTAGCCTAATTTATTTATTATTTTCAATTGTTTAGGAGTCTGTTGCAGTACATAGACGAAGAGTTATTGTTGAGGTAAATGTCGTAACGTTTTTATTTTGGTCTGTCTTTATCTGCCATGCATTGCTATTGTTAAAAAAAACAACTAACCAACTCCCTAGCATTCAATTCTGCACATCTTGTTTGTAACGCTTTTTTGTTTTACTTAATTGGGGGAACGTTGGAAGGGTGGTGGTGGTGGAGAACTGCCGTGAGGCTTCTTCGTTTGATTATTTTGGTATTCATTATAGGGGAGCTTACAAATACCAACCTTCGGACTCCTACACGCAGCAGTAAGTTGATAACAATGCGTCTATTATTTCATTTTTTTGTCGTTATATTGGACACTGTAGCGTTAAGTTAGAGCTTGTTGCTTTTGATTTGAAGCGCATGCTTTTCGATCTCGTGCCGATCATTTAGTTCATAAGACCTACATGTTTAGGGCGACGCTACCGGTCCAGGACGTCGAGTCGAACATACGCACGACGTGCGACGTACATACCATTCCGTCTAGCCCCACGAATAGTGATAGCGCCATAAATGGATCTCCGCGAAGGCACTCGTCCGTCGACGAGATATTTGGACTAGTCAATTCGATGAACATCGCCGGACAGCGGCAGCGATCTCTTAGCGATAGCGGACGAAACGGGAGGAATTTGAATGGTACCGTCGCGCGTTGGGGGGGGGGCGAGGCGAAACAGTTGACGAACGCGAAATGTTTGCAGGAACCGACGAGAGCAGTAATCATGACAGTAGCGCCCCCGATTTGGTCGCCTGTCCGCCGGTTCCGCCGATGAGGAAGCATCGTAGGCGGCATACGCCACCGAGACCGCCTAGCAACGGTCTGCCGCCCACGCCTAAAGTACACATGGGGGCTTGTTTTTCAAAGGTGGGTAAAAAGCGTCTTTCGATTTATACATTTTTGGCGCAGTTTGTGCCTACCCTTACAATGTGCAGGCCCGAATTTTAGCCTCATTGCGGTAAGCAACAGACTATTGCCCGATAACTGGCACGATGCAATCAAATTTCAGCTTTTCTCCACTATTCTAGTGTTCTCGTTTTTTACGTAAGTTTTCTTCTATTCCTTTGAGGAAAACCGATGGAATACCTCCCCCCCCCTCAGTGCTACACTGGCCTCCAAAATACTTTGAACATTTAACAGTCATAACTCATGGTATTGCCTAGGGAATGTGACATACCGTTGTAGAAACGGAAAAATGGAAAGGTCTTCGAGAGAGGACCATCGCATCTTCCATAGCTGGGGGGGGGGTATGGCATCCCCCGACTCCCCGGTGTTACAATGTCCTTCAAAATACTTGGAACATCTCGCACACTCGCCGCACAAACAGAAAAATCGAAGGTCTTCCTTAAAAAAATATCAAGAGGAGTGAAAGTGCTAAACGTTTTGGCAAAAATGTAGCTCTGGGGGGGGGGGTATTAAGGGAGATGTCTTATTTTTTAAGAGAGGATGAGAGGGAAAATAGTACCCAGGTATCTACAGAATGCTCTATGGGGAAAGGTCATACTTTTAACAGAGGGCCACTGAATTACTGGGGAGCACCCACCAGATGGAATATCCCCCAGACCCTCCGGGAGTAGAATTTTTTAATAGAGGACAAGGGGAAAAATAGTACCAAGGTATCTGGTGGGTACGATAATACTCTCCAGGAAAGATCTTATGTTTTTAAAAGAGCCCCATCGAATTCCAGGGAGGGAGGGAGGTATTCCAAACCTCCCAGTAACGGAAGCATTGGTGGGCTTACCTCGAAAGATTATCCTAGAACTCACTCACAGTTATGGTCATTTTCGCATCACATCTTCCATTGCTGGGGGGTATTCCATACTACGTAATATCAGGAGGAGTGAAAGTGCTAAACGTTTTGGAAAAAAATGTAGCTCTGGGGGCCCCCCGGTGAAGGAAACCACGTATTTTTTAAGAGAGGACGAGAGGAAAAATAGTACCAAGGTATCTGATGGGTACGGAACACTCTCCAGGAAAGGTCTTACATGTTTAAAACAGCCCCATCGAATTGGTATGGTATTCCATATCCCCCAGAACTATATTCTACAACAACACTTGTCTAGGGGATGGAAGACAGAATTGTTGGAGAATGTAGTACCGGGGGTATGGAATACCTCCCAATGAAAACGCCTACAAGTAGATAGGGAACACCTCTTGTTATTTGAAATAGGATAAATAGTATCCAGGTATCTACGGAATCTTTTAAAAGAGGGCCATTGAATTCCTAGGGAGCACCCACCACACGGAATATCCCCCAGACCCTCCGGTACTACTTTTGTAGTATATTGTTGGAACATGGTACTACATTTTCCAACAACATACTACAAAAGTAGTACGAGGAGCGGGGGGGGGGTGTTAGAACGCCTAGCCATGGAATACCTTATTTTTTAACAGAGGACAAGAGGAAAAATAGTACCAAAGATCTTATATTTTTAAAAGAGCCCCATCGAATTCCGGGATGGAGGGGGGGGGGTATTCCAGACCAGTGCTAAACGTTTTGGGGAAAAATTTACCACCGGGGGGTATTCCAGCAGGGGAAGCATTGATGGACTGATTATCCTAGAACTCTCACCCACAGTGATGGTCATTTTCGAGGGAGGATCATCGCCTTTTCCATTGCTGGGGGGTATACCCACCAGACCCCCGGTGCTTTGCTGTTCCTCAAAAATTCTTCGATATTGTCTAGGGTAACATATATCCACAGAATGGGAAAAATGGGGTCCTCCTTAAAACAATATCAACAGGGGTGAAAGTGTTTAAACGTTTTCGAAAAAATGTAACACTGGGAGGTATTTTGGAAGAATTGATGGGCTTATCTCGAAAGATTATCCCAGAACGCGAAGGCATCTTCTATTGCTTTCCGTAGCCTCCCCCCCCCCCCCCCCCGTGCTTTGATGATATGTCCCCCAAAATGTTTGAAACACCTCACAACACACTCATGATGTTGTTGACCAGGGTGGGGGAGGGGAGAGGTGGGATATATCTCCGCATAAAGGTCTTCCTTAAAAAATCTACAGTGTGCTCAATATTTTGGACAAAAATGTAGCGGCAGGGTCGGGGGGGGGGGGTTATTGACCATTGCTGGGCTCGCCTTGAAACAGTATCCAACACCTCTCACTCCCAGGTATGGTCACTTTCGTCAGAGGACCATCTTTTCCTGGGGGGGGGGGGATTCTGTCACCCCAAAATACTTTGAACACTACACAGTCATGATGTAACACTTCCGCAGAAACGAAAAATGGAAAGGTTTTTCTTAAAAAAATATCAAGTGTGGGGGGGGGGGGAGAGCGAAACGTTTTGGGAAAAAACTTACCGCCGGGGTTCTGGGGGCTTTGAACATTCACCCCAGCCATGATATTGTCATGGGTAAATAGGAAGATTCGTTTTTCAAGTTGGAATCGGGGTCGAGGGGAGGTGATTACCCCCCAGTACCGGAAGCAGATTATGCTAGAACTCTTCCTCACAAGTTATGGTCATTTTCGGAGGACCATTGAATCCTCTTTCTTGCTCTTTTCCCTTTGATATTTTTTTGACCCTTGTTTTTTTACCTTGTGTCTCCATTCTCCTCAGTACCTCCTCCAGCATTGTCGCCGCCTCAATTTCTTGTTTTCTTTGTACGTCCCTTTTTCATTAGATTTTTTGTAATCCTCTCCCTCTTCTCTTAGACGATCACCACAAGGGATGCAATTTGACCAAATCCAAAAGCGACTTTGGGTTTTGGTGACGAGCTGTTTGTGTTTGCCATATGAAAAAAGTGTACCGTAGCCTTTTATGCTCACATAACTTTTGCAGGTATTTAACGGTTGTCCACTACGGATTCATTGTACCGCATCATGGATTCATCCGGACACCAGAGATCAGCACATACTGCTCGGAGCGGAGGAGGGAATTTACAATTTAAATCTAAACGAACTGCACGAAACGTGCATAGATCAATTGTACAACAGACGAACGGTTTGGATGTATGTCATTAAGGATGTACTTATGACGCTTACGGGTAAGAGGCCGTTCGGACTTTTAACGGTGTGTATTCTCATTGTCGTCTCGCAGGTAAAACGCCACACCTTTACAGACACGACCTTTTAGCATTACAAAATAAACAATCTCACAGGTTTAGCTTGCACATGAACAGAATACCCGAACGGTTCGTACCGCGCAAATTCGCACTGACTACACGTGTACCTGACACTCGAGGGACGATACGCTGTTGCGTATCGAGGAATCCCTACAACGGTTATAAGTATTTATGTGGCGCCACGCCCACCGGCATCTACCTAATGCAGTGGTACGACCCCCTCAACAAGTTCATGCTACTCAAGGTAAACGCGGTGGCACGTGTTCGCACTGATCTCACGCCCGCTTTCAGCACGTCGAATGCAGCCTGCCGAATCCTCTGAACGTGTTCGAGATGATAATCACGCCCGAGCTCGAGTACCCCGTCGTCTGCGTCTCCGTCAAGCAGGCCTATCAGCCGAACAGGTACAAGCTCGACTTAATCAACATGAATTCGGGTGAGCATTACCGATCCCTTATTAGTCCTCCGTAACGTTTTGCGCAGGCTCCAGCTGGTTTCACTCCGACGAGCTGCAGGACATGGACGGCACGGCGACGGTGATACCGAAACGGGAAAATCTGAACGTCGTCGACGTCACGCAGCTGGAGAAGGACGCGATTTTGATTTGCTACGACAATCTGGTTAAGATCGTGACGCCGCAGGGGCGCGTTCGGAACGCGAAGAAGCAAATTTCGGAGCTGAAGTTCGATTTTAGAATTGAGAGTATCGGTAAGCTCGAAACTCTTGTGCCGCCCTCTTTGGTCCTTTCCCCCTTTCCCCTCATGTACTTGTATGTTCTCACCTACTATTTTACGCCGATCTTAAAGCAATTTTTAGCGCATGCCTTTAGTGATGCCAAGTTAAACTTTAGGAAATTGGGGGGGGGGGGGGGGGTAAACAATGTTCTACCCTTCATGGTATTTCTAATGAAAGGTCTCATCGAAATAAATTGGTTTGTGCAAACTATAACTTTCCCGTGCGACTCTTCTTCGAGATCTGTGAGCGACAGGGTCGCGGAGGGGGAGGGGGGGTTAAAATTAATTTTATCTCTCATTGTATTGGGGGGGGGGGGACTAGCGTAATCTTTCATGGTATTCTAATGAAAGGTCTCAACGAAAGGAATTAATTTCCACCAACTATTGCCCTCCTCCTCGACCTCTTATCGTGATTTTTAGTCCTCTCTGACGAGGAGCCCATAAAGGGTTTGTTCGAATTATCGTCCATACAATGCCTACGAGTAGTGCGGAAATGCGGTCTCACCTGGGCAGAGCCGCTTGCCCAGACCCCTTTCCGAAGGGGCAACCACAAATACGGAAATTGTGCTGCGCATGCGCACATCGGTTTTGACCACAAGGAAGGAAATTGGTTACTCACACACACATGTATTCTTTTGCCCTCTGCCACCTTCTATCCCCTCCTTCCCTTTTCCCTTCACCTCATATAAGCTTTCCCTCTTCTGTCTTCTTCTGACCTGCCTTTTGCAGCTCTTTCCTACCTTCATGGGCAATCGTCTATTCTCTATCGTCGCCTGAACTTTTCAACCCACTATTGTTCTCATGTGTCTTCTTTTATTCTCACCTACCATCTTCTATTTACATCTTATGCCCTCTCTACCTCTACTAAACCATCTTCTGTCCTTTCTTGCTCTCTACGTCTCAACCCACGTTTTTTTTTCTTCTCTCTCCTGCCTGTTCAGCCTTTTCCTGCTTCTTTATTCTCATTTTGTTACTCACATGCCCTCTACTGTCTTTTATTTTCTATTGCACTTTCATACCCTCTCCTCTTTTCGCATGCACTCTTCTGTCGTCTCTATCCTTATCCTATCCCTATCCTTACATGACCATTCCTGTCCTGTGTATATCTTTAATCTCACTTGCTTTTTAGCGCATTTTTCAACGAAGTTGGGTGCGCTATTGCAGCCACTATCTCTGTCCGTCCGTCTGTCCGAGACCTTGACTACTCCTTCAGTTTTCGAGATATTAAGTTCGTTCTTTTTGCGTTCGGTAGCGTATAGCTCTAGCACCTGAGCCAAGGAAAATTTTGACAATTAAACTGGCGCAATATCAAATGTTATTTATCGAGATATCTTTTTGAAATTTTAATCACAGATGCTTCTATTAAAGGCAAACATAACTGATATTGCAAAAATTAGATGTGAATGAGTGGCTAGCAGGCGCCAGCGATATTTGATTGAATTGAAATGAAATATTTTTAAGTTTCTGCAATGGCCGCTAGGGGGCGTAACTGCAATCTGGAATCTAAAAAGGTGATGTTTTGTGAATTCCGCTATATTAACCTAACAAAAAAATGTCCGGTCTTTGAAGTTGACGATAATCTGAACAATTTTTGTTTGACAATTTTTCCTGTATCTCTAAAAATGAAGTGGTGGGGAGTATTCAAAGGTTTCCGTAAAGAACACCCTGTATCTTCGAAACGGCTGATCCGATTTCAACAAACTCGGGATAGTTCAAAAGAGCTATTCTTCAGCTACAAATATTATACTATTTGAAGTTTTGTTGGTTTCACATATCACCGCTTGAGGGCTTTTTTCGACATTCCGACAGATATGGTTAATTTTCTCAAAAAAATTAAATGCATTGGTCCGATTTTTTTTCATGAAAAAGTTGCTAAATGATGCCTAACAAGTTCGCGAAAACAGCATCTCGATATCTTGAGATATATATATATATTTTTTTTTATATCGTGATCGCCAGCATTTCGAGCATTTACGGCGGCATTAAAAGCTTCCTTTTTTAAATCGATCCACCTTAGGGCCACAAATTATATAATAAAAATAATTCCGAAAAAATTAGCTTAAAAAAATAAAATTTTGAGGGTATAAAATTTTCTTTGCAATTTTAGGTTAGGAACAAGAGGAGATGCGGTTTTCGCGAGCTTGTTTAGGCATCATTTAGCTACTATTTCATGAAAAAAAAATCAAACCAACGCATTTAATTTTTTTGAGTTTGTTAAAATCGGCTCAGTCGTTTCGAAGATACAGGGTGTTCTTTACGGAAACCTTTGAATACCCCCCACCACTTCATTTTTAGAGATACGGGAAAAATTGTCAAACAAAAAAGTTTCAGATTATAGTCAACTTCAAAGACCGGACATTTTTTTCTTAGATTAATATGGCGGAATTCACAGAAAAATCACTTGTTTAGATTCCAGATTGCAGTTACGCCCCCTAGCGGCCATTGCAGAAACTTAAAACTATTTTCCAGGTTTTTCTCTTGGCCGTTTTAGTAATATTTTTTTTACCGCAAGCCTCTACGATGGACAGGTTCCCAGATACAGTACCTCGCGTTCTTATTTGGCCACCCTGTACAGCATCAGACTTGTGGTGGTGGTGGTGGTGGAGGGGGCGGGGCCCAAATTGTCTGGGTATGCCTTCATGGTATTTTAATGAAAGATCTTGACAAAAGGTTGTGCACCTACCTCCCTTCCCGTCCATAATCCACGCAGTGATTGGAAAGCTCATCGAGCCACATCAATTCCTCTCCGGATTGTTCACTTTTTTTTTTGTCGCGTTTCAGTATGTCTACCCGACAGTGTGCTTGCCTTCCACAAGCACGGCGTGCTGGGCCGTTCGTTTAAGAACGGCGACATCACGCAGGACGTGATCGACCAGTCGAGGACTTACAAGCTGCTGGGATCGGATAAGTCAGTCGCGCGCTTGCGCCGAAGGAAACTAAGGCGTCTTCTTTTTTAGGGTGCTCGTGCTGGAGAGCAACCTGGTGCATTCCGGCACGCTGACCGCCGAGGAGGGGCACGACTTGTACATTTTAGCGGGACACGAAGCTAGTTACTGAGCGCGCGAACGAATCAAAACGCTCGGAATCAAATTCCTTGTAGAAAGTTAGGTTAAGGTAACTTATTTTAGTGGGTAAGTTTACTGTAACACCACGAATACAGAGATCGAGTCTACAATATGTGCAAATATACCTCATCAAAAAAAAAGTATGTATAGATAGGAGCTAGCGAAGAGAGAACATCTAATTAAAAAGTCGTAGTTGAATATTTTTTTTAATAATAATGAAATATAATCAAAAATATATTGCTGTTAATGAAGCACAGAAGAATGTCTTGATGAAGAATATTTTTTGTAAACGAAATGGTGGTGTTGGGCACAAACGTTTGTACATACCTGTCTTAGTCCCCCCCGATTGATATTAAGAATGCATGTTGGCAATTCATAAATTTCTGTATTTGATTTTGTATAGTCAACAGCATTTCGGCTGTGTTTTAAGTAATTACTAATTCAGTAAATGTTTATGAATATAATGTACATATTGTATATTGTTAATAAATATTGATGCATACCAGAAAAAAAGAAGTATATATATTTATGTTTCCAACAGTATCGTAGGACCAAGATGCCAATTTAGGACTTAATTATTGTATAAACTCTTTTTTTACAGTTTTGTACATCACACACCGACAGCTATTAAGTTTCTGTAATATTGTATTAGAAAATTGCACTAGTTTTGTACGGCATTATGACTTGGTCGTTAATTCGCATTATGTGATTTGTTAAAGTATGTATTTTAAATAAATATAAGCGAAAAAGTATCAACTCGACTTTTTCTTGCAATAATTTTGACGCACTGTGTATATGTAAAACATATTTGTCTATTATTTTAATTTGTATTGATAGATGGGGTTATAATACATGGCAATAATGTAAGAATAAACCCCTACCTCCATCCTGGGCATCGATTCCCGAAGTTAGTCGATATGCTCCGTGATGTGCATGTGATGTGACCGGCTGCCATGACGTCATGATCGTATACGATAGAGATAAGTTCAAGTTTAGCTGCATTCCCGAATCGTGGACAAACTTTATGCGCTAACCAATCACAGACAAGAATTGAACTGTCATTTGTCAGTTTTGTATTTTGTTTTGTTTTTGCATTATGGATACTGCTATTAATAACCAGAAAATCCTCGAACAATTCCATGTTTTATTTCACAGAAAATATGTGAATTTATAGGTTAGGGCACTGAATAACCTCTATAGCAAAACAGCTGCAAGTCCGTCCTGTAGCTGCAACTGCGCATGACTTTCACGCAACGAGTGGTCTAGACCAGTCGTTGCGTTCGATCAACTTTTCGCTCGATGTGGTAGATTCGAGAATGCAGTGGCATTGACGTTCACATCAAGGTCAGTCGATGTGAACAAAACACATCTTCGGGAATCGACGCCCTGGCCCTTGCACTTCTTCCTGTCCATGGAATACTCTCCGGGAAAGATCTTATATTTTTAAAAGAGCCTCATCAAATTCTAAGGCAATTCAGTATTACATTTTCCAACACTCCAGGAACGGTCTTATATTTTAAAAGAGCCCATTCGAATTCCAGGGGGTATCGATACCCCCAGTAAGTAGCGGCAAAGAGTACTCTACTCTTTGGTAGCGGTACTACATTACCAACCACGTGTATGGGGGGCGGGGCATGTACGACACGTGTAATTGGAGAATGTAGTACCGGGGGTATGGAATACCTCCCAGCCAAAACGCCTATAGGTAGGGAAGCCCTCTTATTTTTTAAGAGAGGACGAGGAAACATAGCACCTAGGGATCCCATGATCATAAGAATGCCCCCAGGAATTCGATGGAGGTCTTTTAAAAGTATGACCTTTCTTGGAGAGTGATCCGTACCCAGCAGATTTCTTATTGGTACTATTTTCCCTCCTCTCTTAAAAAATAATAGATCTTGCCTGGGCAGGGGTTTTCGCTGGGGTGTATTCCATCCTTCCCTTGCCTCTCTTCCATTCAAAATGTTTACATCTTCATAATCATGGCATGAACTTAGACCGCTAACATGTTGTTCGAGAGGAAATTCGATTGTGTTCGTAAAAGTTCATATAAGACATTTCTTGGGGGGGGGGGGTTATTCTGTGTCCACCCCATTTGTTGGTGTTATTTTTCGTCTCGTCCTCACTTAAAATCAGAGGTCTTATTTTATTTTTATTTTATTTTTATCCCTCTCTGGGAGGTATTCCATACTCCCTAGACCACCGGTATTATGATCTTCAAATGTTTAGTTTCTCTTTAAATGTAAATATTGGAGGGTAAAGTAGTTTAAAAACGTAGAAGTGGGTCCAGACCAACGGACAAAACTGCAGTGGTTCTCGAAAATGTAGTGGGAGCAGGGACAGGGGGGGCAGAGTATATGACTTTAACGTTTTGTTAATTCACCTCTTCCCAGGAGTGCATGAATAAGTGGGTACGTTTTGATACGACATTCTTAAAATTACGGGGCCTATCCTGGGGGGTGTTTCGTGTGTCCCGTTTCGGACTAGTTGTTTGTAAAGAAGAAATCAGTCATGTGGAGGGGATCCGGTCGTTATTTTTTGTTAGCGCATTTTTTAAGAATTTTGCGTTTGGGGGGGGGGGGGTTAAAAATTAATTTTATCTCATTGTATTCTAATTAAAGGTCTCAACGAAACTTTTCTACAAACTACTGCCGTTTTTTCCGTCCTCTTATCAACGTACGGGGAGGAGGGGGAGGGGGGAGTGGAACGAGTTTTATCCTTCATGGTACTCTAATGAAACGTCTCAACGAAAGGAATTAATTTCTACCAACCATAGCCCTCCACCTCGACCTCTTATCGTGATCGGGTATATTCCCTTATACCTCAAGAACGGATTGTCGGAAGAGGGTACTCGCAAAGGGCGATTGAGACGTCTGCAAAATATATCCGTTGGTGATGTCAAAACGAAACCTATTTCGGTTAAAAAAATGCGCTTTATCACCTGCACAAGAGTTGTGCACAATTTATACTTGTTCAAATTTGGCACAGCAGCCAAAATCAGAGATTGGACAAGAAGGTCGTTGATTCGCGACATAATTTGCGAATCGATGTTAAATGAGCGGAGCAAAAAAAGTGCATCATTTCTAGACCTTTCCCCGAAATACTTTTGGCATTATTTCCTGTTTTCTACCTTGTCTAATTTTGTATGTTCAGCTCCAGTTTAAAAATAGACCAGCGTTTCACTTATTCTTAGTCGTTCGCTACTTCCGTTGTGTGAGTGTCCGTCTTGTATGTAGTTTTTATCGTTTTATAGGTAAATATATTTCAAATTTGGTTTTAAAATTACTGATTAATTAAAAAATGCGATCGGGGCGCGTTATTTTTTAAATTCGCAGTGTAACGCGCGCCGTCCCCCGCTTAACGATTGGCAACACTGCACATACTGCAACAGTTTACAATTTAATGATTTTTAAATGTCGATGTGTAGGTTTTTAGCGTTTCTTAAGAGCAGCCCGCAATGGCAGAGGCCGAAGGGGGCTCCGAGCAGGACGATGTCTCATTCTTACGTACCGTAAGTATTACGCGTCGCATTTTTCGCTATTTTTTAATTGCGTCTCTATAGGAAGATATGGTGTGCCTGTCCTGCACCGCGACGGGCGAACGCGTCTGCTTAGCCGCCGAGGGCTTCGGCAATCGACACTGCTTCCTCGAAAATATCGCAGACAAGGTAAGAAACCTCCCCCAGTCGCCCCCTTGTTGCTAATCGGCGTCGTTGCAGAATATTCCACCTGACCTATCCCAATGCGTTTTCGTCATCGAACAGGCGCTCTCGGTGCGCGCCCTGCAGGAGCTTGTCACCGCTGCGGGCAGCGAGACGGTAAGCGGATCATTCACTTTGAATATCGTCATTATTTATGTGTAACAATGCATTGTCAATTTGTTTTTGTTTAATTAATTTTATGTCTGTTTTCGCTCCACCTTTGAATTACCTGCATGATTTTTGCGTTTCAGGACCAAGAAAATTTAGTAAGTAGAAAATTGCGGTAAAGTGAGATGGTTGTGAAGTACTAACGTGTCTAATATTCACTCTACCACACACTTCCAGGGGCGGATTAACCGAACGGTGGGCCCTACGCCTCCACCTCCCGCAAACACTCATTTTTGGAATGGTACCCCAACCTTAAAATAGTTCGGAAAAATTCCGACGTCACAAAATTCGGAAACGAAAAACAATTATAGGGTGTACAGGATGTGGAATACCCGACCTAAACGTTTTTGGAATAAAACGTATGACCGGGGAGTCTGGGGGTATGGAACGCTCCCCCAGCCCTCGACAAAGGATGACTAGAAAATTCTTTTCTTATTACACTCTCTAGCACTCTCATGGTATTAGGGAAATATGGTAATCAATTTTTGTGCTTGCTGGGGGGTATTCCATACCCCCCAGACCCCCCGGTGGTACGTTTCTTCTTCAAAACCTAAACGTTTTTGGAATAAAACGTATGATCAAGAAGTCTGGGGGTATGGAACACCCCCCAGCAATTACCCTCGGCAAAGGATGGCTCGAAAATTCTTTCCTTATTACCCCCTAGCACTCTCATGGTATTAGGGAAATATGGTAATCAATTTTGTTCTTGCTGGGGGGTATTCCATACCCCCCAGACCCCCCGGTAGTACGTTCTTCTTCAAAACCTAAACGTTTTTGGAATAAAATGTATGATCAAGAAGTCTGGGGGTATGGAACACCCCCCAGCAATTACCCTCGGCAAGGGATGACTCGAAAATTCTTTCCTAATTATTACCCCCTAGCACTCTCATGGTATTAGGGAAATATGGTAATCATTTTTTTGTGCTTGCTGGGGGGTATTCCATACCCCCCAGACCCCCCGGTAGTACGTTCTTCTTCAAAACGTAAACGTTTTTGGAATGAAACGTATGACCGGGAAGTCTGGGGGTATGAACACCCCTCAGCAATTACCCTCGCCAAAGGATGATTCGAAAATTCTTTCCTTATTATTCCTAGCACTCTCATGATGGTATTAGCGAAATATGGTAATCAATTTTTTGTGTTTGCTGGGACCCTCCCTCGGTAACCTCCAGCACTTTGTCTAGATGAAAATTCTTCTTGTAAATACAGGGTGTCCCTAAAAGGTCTGTACAACGCGCTACCATGGGTTCTTGGTATCAAAATAGGACGATTTAACCCAACTTACCTCTATCCAAAAGTGCTTCGGTAAGGCGCTATCTACCGCCAAAGATTTAAAAAAAAAAATCGTTATTTTTATTTTATCGGAAAATGGTTTTGCCGATTAAAATGAAATTCGGGATGTGAATGTCTAATGTAAAAAGGGTCTTTGTGATATCATCGTTTTGATTGTAGTTGCTATGTAGGTGGTAAAATACTGACCATCCACATCTGAAGAGGTCTAAAACTTTTTAACTACTATTTTGACGTTCTGAATTTTTAGACACTGATAGACAGTTTACTTGCAAGCATTTTTTGTCTCTTGATGAATATCGCTATCTGTGATGGTTTACGAAAAAAAAAAAATTAGGCATGATGAATAGCATGCACCATACATGCGATTGTTGCTCAAAAACCATAAGTGCAAGCAAGAAGTAGGCTATGACGATTTGGAAACCTGTAAGTATACTGCCTAACGCATTGGCGACCATTTCCACGACAGTATCCAAACACTAATAGCATATCAATTAACTCTGCGTTACTGTATTGAAAGGCCATATTACAATTTTAACAATGAAATGTTAAGTCTTCAAGCAAAACGTAAATTGTTCAAGTTTAAGAAACAACAAACAAACGTTACGCCACTCTAAGGTTTCACAGCCATCTTCTGATTTTTTGAGGAACAATCGCTTGTATGGTGCATGCCATTCATCATTGAATTTATTCAATGCCATTCATCATGCCTAAATTTTTTTTTTCGTAAACCATCACAGATAGCGATATTCATCAAGAGACAAAAAATGCTTGCAAGTAAACTGTCTATCAGTGTCTAAAAATTCAGAACTGTCAAAATAGTAGTTAAAAAGTTTTAGACCTCTTCAAATGTGGATGGTCAGTATTTTACCACCTACGTAGCAACTACAATCAAAACGATGATATCACAAAGACCCTTTTTACATTAGACATTCACATCCCGAATTTCATTTTAATCGGCAAAACCATTTTCCGATAAAATAAAAATAACGATTTTTTTTAAATCTTTGGCGGTAGATAGCGCCTTACCGAAGCACTTTTGGATAGAGGTAAGTTGGGTTAAATCGTCCTATTTTGATACCAAGAACCCCTGGTAGCGCGGTGTACAGACCTTTTAGGGACACCCTGTATATCGCTGGTGAAGCTTTCTGCGAAAGTGTTGCTATGGAAGATTGTAGGCTAGGATTCTCGAATGTTCAGTGGCGAAGGCTTAAAATTGTTCCACAGTTCCCTGGTAATCATGTGTATTTTCTGATCTCTTCGTCAACAGGAAGTGCCTTCTATAGGTAGTCTTGTCCCGATGGTATCGATAACACCTTTTTGGGGGAAACTGAGGCTAATTCAACTGCTGTTACTTGAGTGCGAATCGGATAACTTCTAGGTTTGTGCAACCAAAATGCGGTGACGCGATCATCTCAGGGGTCTCCCTCTTAGCTTGCCGAATAAATTTATTACTAAATCTTATCTCGGAGTATTGTTAGAAATTTGCGGGGGGGGGGGCGAAAATTTAATTAAAATATTTTGAATCCCACTCGCTGTCTTATGGTTAATCCGCCCCTGACCACACACACTTAAGACTTACTGTTGGTATAATCTCTATAACATTATAATGTGTAGTTTATAGGGTAGATCAGTTAGAGAGAGTGGTTTGAAAATTTTCCAACAATATCTCGCGAGCTCGGATTTGTTGCGAACTTTCTACGTCACTCTCGTATCTCAAGTTATGTTGCTTTAATTTGCGCTTGTTTTTCTTATTATTTACGTAGTCATTGGCGATGTTAGAAACACTAAAACAGCGACCGTTTACTTGTTGCAAGTTGTAACGTATCGACTTTCTTTAGGGAAAGGGAACCGGATCCGGTCACCGCACGCTTCTCTACGGTAATGCTATACTTTTGAGGCATTGGAACAGTTACATGGTAAGAGCACACTAAGAATATCCTGACACGATGGAATATTCTACCCAGGGAATATTCCGATTCTAAGAATATTCTTCCGGAATATATCTGTATTTTATAGCTGGAAGTTAATATGTATGACTGATTGCAGTATTTGGCCTGCTTATCCACCAGTTCCAGTAATGACAAGTTGTCATTTGATGTCGGCCTTCAGGAGCACAGTCAAGGTGAAGCGTGTTGGTGGACCGTCCATCCGGCAAGTAAACAAAGGTTACCTACTTCACCCTCGATATCTATATCCTTGTTACTCTCCTCTTAATTTCACAGATCAGAGGGCGAGAAAGTGCGCGTTGGTGACGATCTGATTTTGGTATCGGTAGCGACCGAGCGATACTTGGTAATGTTACACTATTCCATTACTCACTCACCGCCACCTTTGTACCATAGCACACCACTAAGGAAAACGAACTATCCGTTGTCAATGCAAGCTTCCATGTAACCCATTGGTCGGTGCAGCCGTACGGTACCGGAATGTCCCGAATGAAGTATGTCGGTTACGTATTCGGGGGAGACGTGCTTCGGTTTTTTCACGGAGGCGACGAGTGTCTGAGCGTGCCGTCGACGTGGTCCGAAGACCCCGCCCACAAGTACTGACCGACAGCGCCTCTGTGTGTTATTCACTAAGTTGCTTTTACAGCATCGTCGTCTACGAAGGGGGCAGCGTCATGTCGCAGGCCCGCTCGCTTTGGCGTTTGGAATTGGCGCGTACGAAATGGGCCGGCGGTTTCATCAACTTCTTTCACCCAATGCGAATACGACACATTACCACCGGACGTTATCTGAGCGTCAACGAAAATAACGAGCTCTATCTCGTCGGCAGGTTCGTATCTTCATTATCTTCATACAACCCTAACTGTCTTTGGCTATAGGGATGAGGCGACCACCGCCTCGTCGACGTTTTGTTTGCGTCACGAAAAGGACGATCAAAAAATCGTCGTCGAGGACAAGGATTTGGAAGTGATCGGTTCGGCGATAATCAAATATGGCGACTCGACCGTGATCGTTCAGCACTCGGAGACCGGCCTGTGGCTCTCGTACAAGGTGCGTGCGGTATTGCGCAAACGCCAATAATTCGAGAGCTGTTACAGTCGTACGAGACCAAGAAGAAGGGCGTCGGAAAGGTCGAGGAGAAGCAGGCGATATTGCACGAGGAGGGGAAGATGGACGACGGCCTCGACTTCAGCAGGAGCCAGGAGGAGGAGTCGAAAACGGCGCGGGTCATTCGCAAGTGCAACTGTTTGTTTGTTCAATTTATCAGGTGAGTGTCCGCTGTCCCGCCTTGTAATAGCCATCGTTTGCAGCGGCTTGGAGGGTTTACAAATGAGCCGAAGACAATCGGTGTTTTTCGCGAACGTCAACCTGAACGAGATGGTGATGTGCCTCGAGGATCTGATCAACTACTTTGCTCAACCAGAGGACGACATAGGTAGATTGATGTTAGTCGTAGGTACTCGGTAGTGATTGTTATTTGTTTAGAGCACGAGGAGAAGCAAAACAAGCTGAGGGCGCTGAGAAATCGCCAGGATCTCTTTCAAGAGGAGGGGATTTTGAATTTGATACTCGAGGCGATCGACAAGATGAACGTGATCACCTCGCAGGGTTTCCTCGCCGGTCTCGCCGGCGATCAAAGTTGGGAGATGATCTCGGGATATCTCTATCAGCTTTTGGGTAGCTTGCGCGATTCGTTGAGCGGCTTTTTGATTTGTCTTCGTTTTCAGCGGCGATCATCAAGGGGAATCATACGAATTGCGCGCAGTTCGCGAACACGAATCGATTGAACTGGCTCTTCTCGCGTTTGGGTTCTCAGGCCGCCGGCGAAGGAACGGGAATGTTGGACGTGCTGCACTGCGTTCTGATCGATTCTCCCGAAGCCTTAAATATGTTAAGGGTAAGTATAAGACTGTGTGGAGTTTTGAAATTTCTATCTTGAAACTTGAACTAATAGTTCCACAATCTTTAATTGGAATATTAGTCTCCAAAAATTTCTCAAAAGGCCTGTAGTCTGTAAGAGCTTTTAATAATCTTGGTCCTTAAGTAAGCCAGATCGCGAAGAGCCTTTAAGATCTTTATGGAGGAACTAAAGTAGTCAAAGAGACCCCAGAACTCTAGGGACTTTACAACGGGTCTCAAAGATTCTCCATGACTGGTATATATGAAATTTTGAATGGTGCGAAAAAGTTTGAAAGTGGCACTTCGGAAGTGCCTACAGAAGTAACCACTTCTTTCTCTCTCACAACCATTTGCTCTCTCCTTTTTGGCGCGATCTATGGAATACACCCCTCCCCCCCTCCCCTCTGATTTCAGGGTGGATTTCAGAGTGCCACTGTTTTGCAATAACTTGGGAGGTTATCCTCTAGCCCCCCCCCCTCAGTCCTATGATGTCACCCAAAACATAATTCTTGAAGGCTTTTTTGTCCTAGACCCCCTGGTGCTACGACCCCCCCTCCCTCCGTACTAACAATCAAAAGCACTCTGAGAGCACGGTGGGGTGTAGAAGATTTGGTAGAGAACGTAGCAGCGGGGAGCTTGGGAGTATGGAGATCCCTCAGGGCAAATAATCGCAACACGATCTTCAGGGAGGTATTCCCTGGGCCTCCCTCCTCCTCCGTGCTGTATCACCCAACACGTTTTCAGCCCCCCCCCCCCCCCAAACGAGAGAAAGAGCTCTCAGAGCAGACCCCCCGGTACTATGATATCACCCAACATGTTTACAGCCCTCTACATTGTCATGATAATTCTTGAAGAATTTCTATTGATTTTTTTGTCTCAGGCCCCCTGGTGCTACCATCCCTCCCCTTCCCAAAAACTAGAAAAAATGGCAGACATTGAGAGCGCGACGGAATGTAAAAGTTTTGGGAGGGAACGTAACACCGTGGGCGGGAGGGGGATGTATGAAATACCTCCCAGGGATTATAAAACTCACAACACAACCTCCGGGGGGGGGGGGTTCCATATTACCCTGAACCCCCTGCGCTATGATATCACCCATCCTGTTTGCACCCCTCCACGTTCTCATGGTAATTCTGGATGAATTTTCATTGTTTTTTTTGTCCCAGACTTAGCAACGTGGGGTCTGGGGTCTCGCTTCGTTCTCACAGTGCCTTCGATTTTTCTTCTAATTTTTGGAAAAGTGGGGGGAGATCGTAGCACCCGGGGTCTGAGACAAGAAAATTATAAAACACAATCACGACACAATCTCCTTGGGGATATCCCCCCCCCCCCTCGGACCCATAAAGAATTTCCATTGATTTTTCCTGTCCCAGAGCCTCTGATGCTATGATCTCCTCTCCCCCCTCCCCAAAAATTAGAAGACCTAAGGAGATTGTGTCGTGATTGTTCAATAATCCCTGGAGGGTATTCCAAACCCCCCAGTTATGATATCACCCAACATGTTTACAGCCCTCTACATTGTCATGGTAATTCTTGAAGAATATCTATTGATTTTTTGTCTCAGACCCTTCGGTGCTACCATCCCTCCCCTCCCCAAACACTAGAAAAAATGGCAGACATTGAGAGCTCGGCGGGATATAGAAGTTTTGGGAGGGAACGTAACACCGGGGGCGGGAGGGGGTGTTTGAAATACCTCCCAGGGATTATAAAACTCACAACAGAACCTCTTGGGGGGGGGGGGTTCCATACCACCCAGAACCCCCTGTGCTATGATATCACTTAACCCCTCAACGTTCTCATGGTAATTCTTGAAGAATTTTCATTGTTTTTTTGTCCCAGACTTAGCAATGGGGGGTTTGGACCCCCCCCCCCCCCCGGGTTATGAAACTTCTACATCCCGCCGCGTCCTCACAGTGCCTTCGATTTTTCTTCTAATTTTTGGAAGAGTGGGGGGAGATCGTAGCACCCGGGGTCTGAGGCAAGAAAATTATAAAACACAATCACGACACAATCTCCTTGGGGATATCCCCCCCCCCTCGGACCCATAAAGAATTTCCATTGATTTTTCCTGTCCCATAGCCTCTGATGCTATGATCTCCTCTCCCCCCTCCCCAAAAATTAGAAGAAAAATCGAAGGCGCTCTAAGAGCGCGGCGGAATGTAGAAGTTTTGGGAGAGAACGTTGCACCGAGGGATCTGGAGGGTATGTAATACTCCCAAGAGATGTTAGATCAATTTTTAGTGGTGCGCACCTTGAAAAAATTCGAAAGTTGCACTTTGTGAAGTGACTACTTCTTTCTCTTTCACAATCCTTCGCTCCCTTCTTTTTTGCCGATATCTATTATAGAAAAAAAAAGCGCGCGCTCGGGGGGTTCGAACCCGCGTTACCATAATCGAAGGGCGGCGACCTTGCAGTTGCGCTTAAATACGCTCTAAATGTGTATGTTATTCAATTTCAAAGACACGTCAGCGATTTTAATGGCGCATTTCCTTTCAAATGGACAAATGCGCTTAAACAATTGCGAGCCAGGCGAGCGGGCCGAGCTCACCTTTGGCTGCCGAGCGTTAAGCGTGACGACCACAGAATATACAGAGTACGTTTATAGCTATTATGTGGTGTTACAGGTGAGATGATTTTACTCCCGTCCAAAACATATAGGTAGTGCATACCGAGCGATAAGAATAGTCTTCAAAAGAGTTTTTTCATCCCCTTTGTTCGAACACTAGCTCGTTGCCTTATAGTCCCTCCCTCTTTCGCCACCTGCTAAAAAGAGAATGGAAGGGGAATTGGGGATCCTCTGCAGTAGCTGTATCAGGTAACAAATTGGGGGGTCTGTGGGGTGTAGAATACTCAGTCTCCAGCGAGAGATATCGGGTTTAGATCGTTTTAGGGTCTTTATTTACATTGCATATCAAACGTAACGTAACCGTAACATTAATGTGACATTGTTATGTATATTCTACATAAAGAAGATGTAATGTAGTTATATTACACAGGACGAACACATCAAAGTGATCATCTCCCTACTGGAAAAGCACGGAAGAGATCCCAAGGTCTTAGACGTGCTGTGTTCGCTTTGCGTCGGTAACGGCGTCGCGGTGCGCAGTTCGCAAAACAACATATGCGACTTTCTGCTGCCGGGCAAGAACCTCCTGTTACAGACGCAACTCGTCGACCACGTCGCCAGGTATACCTACCTAGACACCTTGTCCAGGTACTTATTCTTGTAACCAACAGCATCCGTCCAAATATATTCGTGGGGCGCGTCGAAAACAGCGCCATCTACCAGAAGTGGTACTTTGAGGTCACCGTCGATCACTGGGAACAGACGACGCACATGATGCCGCATCTTCGCATCGGTTGGGCCAATACCAAAGGGTAAGTATCCGTTCGGAGTGGTCGGTAATCCTAACGTTCTTCTTCTACCAGTTACATACCGTACCCGGGCGGAGGCGAGAAATGGGGCGGCAACGGAATAGGAGACGATCTCTACTCGTTCGGATTCGACGGCGCCTATCTTTGGTCGGGCGGGCGATCTACTCGCGTAATCAACAACCCCATCGAGCCTTATATTAAGAAGGGGGACGTAATTGGCTGTGCATTAGACTTAACTATACCCATAATTTCGTTTACGTTCAACGGGATTCCCATTAGGGGAAGTTTCCGCAACTTCAATTTGGAAGGGATGTTCTTTCCGTCGATCAGCTGCTCGTCGAAGTTGAGGTACGTGGTGACACCTTGAATTTTGTCTTAATTCCGAATTCGCAGCTGCCGATTTCTGCTCGGAGGCGATCACGGACGCCTCCGATTCGTACCGCCCGAGGAATTCTCGCCGCTCATCGAAAGCTTATTGCCTCAGCAGATCCTTAGCTTGGATCCGTGTTTTTACTTTGGTAACTTGAACAAGTGCGTGCTGGCGGGACCGTTAGTGGTCGAGGATGACGTGGCGTTCGTGCCGAATCCTGTGGATACGTCAGCGGTGAGTCCGGAGTGCGGCGCGCGAATGCAATTCTGTTCTCTTAGTTTTTTCTGGCAGGCTACATCGAATCGGTTAAGGACAAACTGGCCGAAAACATACACGAAATGTGGGCGATGAATAAAATCGAAGCCGGTTGGCAGTGGGGCGAGTATCGGGATGACGTCCGACATATACACCCTTGCCTCGTCCCGTTCGAGAAACTACCACCGGCCGAAAAACGATACGATTCTCAATTGGCTGTGCAAACTTTAAAGTAAGTTCCGTAAGAGAAACCGTTGAGTTTTTCCAGTGTCGTGAATAATTACCCTAGGACAAGGTCAACGCTCCTTGGTAATTGTAGCCATGGGAGAACTCCTAACAGTGTTGACAATTGAAACAAGTTAAAAAGTAATCGTAAACGATTTACATAAACCGCATTTCCACTTGCATTCATTTCCCATTTGTAAGATGCAACTTCTGTTAAAATCGTAAAAATCCGGCCACAAATATGAAAGATAACGTTGCACATGAGCAATCCATTTTTGACATGCTATTTCAATTTCAGTTTATAAGAAGAATTTCATTTAAATGCTTCCATAAATAAAAAAGTTGACACTGCGCATGCGCAAAACCAAATTTTGAAACTGGCGTTAGATTTTCCTTTATTCCAAGTGCCTATGTATCACAATTCATTTAAATTCTTCCATAAATAAAAAAGTTGGCACTGTGCATGCGCAAAAACAAATTTTGAAACTGGCATTTGATTTTCCTTTATTCCAAGCGCCTATGTATCAAATTTCATTTAAATTCTTCCATAAATAAAAAAGTTGGCACTGCGCATGCGCAAAACCAAATTTTAAGACTGGCGTTAGATTTTCCTTTATTCCAAGTGCCTATGTATCAAATTTCCTTCAAATACTTTTATAAGAAAAAAAGTTTGCAATTCGGTTTATAAATGGTCGAGATGCGAAAAGGGCACTGTGAATTTTGAATCGATTCGACTCAACTTTTGGCATTGCGTATTATATGGCTAAGGCTATGCCCATATTGAATTTCATGCAATTCAGTTCATAATTAACGGAGATGTAAAAGCGATCGGACATTTCTAAACAAAATTATCAGGGACAGACAGACAAAGGAACATACGGACAGACCAACAGACAGACGACAGACAACAATACAAAATTATAAATGATCTCTAGGATGGTTAATAAACGGCAAAAGTGTAAAATTATGGAACATGTTAAAAACGGTTTTTTGTTTTTTTTTCAATAACTTTTTTTGTAAGCGGTACAGAAAAAAATCCTTCCTTGGTACAAGACTCGACACCATAACGAACCAAATAGCGAAAAAAGTAGAACAATAGCTCTTAAGATAAAGAACTAGTAGCGTCGCAAAACGAGCGGACGGACGGACAAAGTGGCCACAATAGCGCATTTTTTTTTGTGGAAATGCGCTAAAAAGTATGGCAGGTATTGTAGTGTATTTAAGCTCTAGCTATAACAGGGTACTCATCTTTGCTGCAATAAAACCCTTCTATTAAAAGTAAGATGGAAAATTACATGACCTTGGTGGGCAAATTCACCGTTTAAATCTACAGAAATTAGTGAATCGTATCTCATATCGCACATACATTCTAAACCGAAGAGTTTTGTGATAGCAGAGTTCTACCCCTGGAACAGGTAACAATAGGTCCTGACTGCGGGAGTTCCCAGTCAATAGTTGGGATTCGAGAACAGTCCCGGCATTAATTATCGTAACTAATCTAATATAAACAAAAAGTCCATACACACATCAAACTTTAAACAATTCGATAATTTCCACATTTAAAAGAATTTTTAAAATTCATAAATTTAGCTTAGGCCGAGACCATGTAAAGATAACCATAAATTGTGCAAACATTTACACCAAAAACGTAAACCATTTTAAATAAAAGGTTAACGGCATTTTTCATATACGTGATGCATTGAGATAAAATCACGACAATTTCAAAAACAAAGATTGAAAATTGTAAAGAAATACAAAGGTTACTAACTGCATTAAATAACACAAAAACAACAATATTAAGAAATACTATAAGAAACGCGTGTACAATTATTGGTCTTTAAAGTACTTGCAAGTTGTTGTGTGTGCTTTCTTAATATACTATTTAATGCACTTTAAACTAGTATTAAAAATTCGCTCGTTTTCGTACTATTGTTGAAGATTTGAATAACGTTGGTCCCGAAACAGAGGGATTTTGTGAATGCTGTGAAACGACGCACCTATTTTCCGCCTTGAAGGTTACATACTTTCATGAGCATCCGGTACGTGAACACCCGGTATCTGGAGGCGCTTCGTTACGAAAAGTGTCGTGGCGAAAGTATTTGTGTTGGTTCTAGGAGTTGAAAATAGAAGATAAAGGTAATTGATTTCATTTCTAGAGTTGTTTGCAGCAGCTGTTAATATTTTAGAATTTCAACTCCGTTAAGTTATTATTAGCGGGTTTTAGTTTCCTTATGTTAATTCAAAACAAACTTAGAACCAGTAGATGCCCCACGTGTTTATTACCTTTCTATCACCGACCTCGCAGGTTGAGCCCAACATTCATATTAACAATTAATTTCATCGCGCCCATTGAGGTGAGTATAATTAACAGTACCTAGTTAAACGAGTTGCAGTAAAGCACATCCGAATCTGTCGTGAGTGGTTTCATTAGAAGCACGCTTAATTAATTGAGGATTAAACGCTTTATTTCGATGGAATCGTTTGCCTTTTGCACGTTTTCTAGTTTGGAAGTCACGTTAGCTTAACCTGTATCACAGTTCCGTAATTCCGTTAAATGAAAAGGTAATAAGCTTTCGATATTTTTCATTCGGTTAATTATAGAAGGGGGTGGGGGTACCACTTTGCTTCCCGTAGCTACCGCCAATTAATTTGTGCTCTGTTGCCAATCGTGTTGAGCCTATGTAGCCGTTACAAATGGCCATCTCCATCTCGAATGAGCTGCTAAATCTAGAACAAGCGCAAATGAACAGACGTATATCGCGCAGCGCCTGACTAGTGACTAAAGCACAAGCACTAGAGTACCTTTGGATAAAAATTGAGCATTAAATTAGGGGCGCAAACAAATTAATAACTTATTGGGTTGTTTTGGAGTTCCACGGCTAATTATATCTTACGTCCAGTCCAAAGATGTTACAGAATGTTTAACTATGTAGTTCGCGATCCTCGCGCTACACGCACAATATTTTAAAGGTCAAACGCCCCTCTCCGCGTCACGCTGCAGTCAGGCCACCTCGATTAAATACCTCATTCGTTTTCTTGTGCATAAGCATGCGTAAGCATATAAGTGTATCGCTGCTTCTGTTTTTACGTCAGGTACCTTGTAATTGAAACTTAGTAAGTATAACCTCCTAGTTATTTAGGTTTTTTAGATAATGGGAAAATCTAAAAGAAAACACCGACAGCGAGAAGATAAATTATCTCGTAAACACCTTTTAGAACGTTTAGAAAAACTTGAATCTTACTATCGCCGAGGAACTTTCTCGCAGGCAAGGACAAACGAAATTCCATCACCTTCACTTAGAACAAGGGCGAGCCGCTCTCCTATTTCCTCCTCGGCGACTAGGGCGTGTCGAGTTGGATACAGCAGTCGCTCTCGACGCCGTAAATCAAGCAGCTCTGTTTCCGCTACTTCAGATGAAGAAGATGGGTCCGCTTCTAAACGTTTTAGATCTCGTTCACCGAATTACAGTGCAGCCCGTACCCAGAGCGTTACGGCGGACACTATTCGTGACTGGGGCGGTAGGCGCAGCAGATCAAGTTCAGTAGCTTCCGATCGTCACAGTGTAGCCCGTATTCCAAGCAATACGGCAGACACAAACACGGATGCCCATAACTTAAACGTTGTGGCTCCTTCACCAACGGGCCCGGTCTCTGAGGACGTTTTAGAGATTGAAAACGATGTTCAGCTCCCTATGGAGGTTCTGGAGATTTTAGGAAACGATCCTAGTCAAAAGGAGACCTCATCGCCTAACTTACACGCAGCCTTGGCATCTCGTTGGACTTCTTTAGCGGCTTTTGGTTTGTCAAAAGATGAGCAGAACGCTTTTGCGGACACCTATACTACTCCAGCTAATTGTTCTGCGTTAACCGCGCCAGCCTTGAATCCGGAAACAAGGGCAATCCTACCTTCTTCCATTCAAGCCAAGGATGCCGCTTACGTAAAATTTCAGAGTAGCCTCAGCAACGGGATTGTAGCTTTAGGGAGGGGGCTTGACATAGTTCTTCGGGAAAACGAAAATTTTCCCACAAACTGCAGGGAGAATTTGCTCAAAAACCTCTCAGATGCGGGCAAAATATTAGTATCCTTTTTTCATGATCTGTCGATTTCAAGGCGAAAGTTCATATTTCCATATATGAACAAAAACACTAAAGACATTCTTGAGCAATGCCCCCCTACAAACCTACTATTTGGCTCAGATTTAGCGGAAAAGGTTAAAGCGGCGAAGCACATAGAATCCTCCGGTAAAGATCTAAAAGCTTCTACGCCTCGCTCAAATCCTAGAACTAGACCCCTTCTATCAACGAAAAGGAGGGGGGGGGGCAGACAGGTACAGGAACGGAGACGTAGTCCTTTAAACAGGTACCGCCCAACCCGTCAGATGAGGGAGACAGGGCCAAAGGGCAATACCTCGCGTTTCCACGCCAGGAGATCGGGAAATCTCAACAGGAAAACTTAAACGAGGCAAGTACTAAATTAGCAGGCAGGCTATCCCTTTTTTATGAGAAGTGGCAAGCTTTGACATCGAATAAGGTGATTCTTAAGTGGGTTAAGGGTTATCCTTTACCGTTGATCAGTACACCTGTACAATTTGTACCGCCAAAAGTTTTTCCTTTATCTTCAGGAGAACAATCTTTAATGGACGGGGAAATAAATAACTTATTAAAATTGGGCGCTATAGTAAAGTGTAAACCACTTATGGACCAATTTCTTTCTCGCACTTTTCTCACAGACAAGTCTAACGGTAAAAAACGGTTTATCCTTAACTTGAAGCTACTAAACAAACACGTCGATGCCCCTCACTTTAAGATGGAAGACATACGGACGGTGCTGAGGCTTGTCCAAAAGAATTGGTATTTCACTACCATTGATCTAAAGGATGCCTATTTCCTCGTGTCGATTGCTACACCGCATAGGAAATTTTTGAGGTTTATACATAATCATCAATTATTTGAATTTACTTGTCTTCCCTTTGGTCTCGCTTCAGCTCCTCAGATGTTTACAAAATTGCTGAAACCAGTGGTCCAACACCTCAGACAAAATAACATTATTTGCGTAAATTATCTTGATGATTTTTTAATTATCTCGGAAACACTCGACATTTCCATTAAAAATACAGAGTTTACTGTCAATCTCTTGGAATCTTTAGGTTTTATCATTAATAGGGAGAAAGGCGTAATTACTCCATCCAAAAGCTGTAAATTTCTGGGCTTTATGTTAAATTCCTACTCCCTGCGTATAGAACTTCCGCAGGACAAAAAAGAGAAAATTAAGAATTGGATAAAACACTTGCTATCCAAAACTACATGCGAAATTCGAGACTTCGCCCGTTTTACTGGTACGCTGGCTTCAGCATGTCCTGCCGTCAAATATGGATGGTTGTATACCAAATCTTTCGAGCGAGCCAAGTACTTGGCCCTTCGTAAACACAGATTGAACTTTAACGCAAGAATGAATATCCCCATCCTTGATGAATTTTCTTGGTGGCTACGCAATTTAGATCGAGCCCATAATGATATAAAACAAGATTCCTACCAAATGGAGATCTTTACAGATTCCTCTCTGTCAGGATGGGGGGCATGCTGTGGCGGAGAGCGTACCCATGGCTGGTGGACACAGTCGGAAAAGGAAGAACATATCAATTTCCTGGAATTACAAGCTATCTTTTTAGGTTTAAAATGCTTTGCAAAAAACCGCAAAAATACGTCCATACTAATTAGGGCCGACAACACCACGGCCATTTCTTACGTTAATCGCATGGGCAGTGTAAAACACAAAAAACTAAATAACCTAACAAAAACAATGTGGCAGTGGTGTGAATCCAGGAACATCTGGATTCATGCGGCGTACATAAACACCAAAGAAAATTGGTTAGCAGATAGGGAGTCTCGTACCATTCATTCGGAAACGGAATGGTCGCTGGCAAACTTTGCTTTTGAACAAATTTGTAATGCGTACGGTTATCCTGAATTAGATCTTTTTGCGTCTAAAGATAACCACAAATGCCCTAATTACATCTCTTGGCTGAGAGACCCTGGGGCAATCGCATCCGATGCCTTTACTGTCTTTTGGGGAAACATGCTGTTTTATGCTTTTCCTCCATTCTCTCTTATTCTTCGAGTGTTGCAAAAAATAATAAAGGATAAGGCTGAAGGTATCCTAGTAGCCCCTTTCTGGCCGTCACAAGCTTGGTATCCGCTTCTCATAAAACTTTTAGTCGCAGAACCTATTTATTTTGAACCCAGCAACCAACTAATGATCTCCCCTTACAGCCGGAATCGTCATCCCCTCGCAAACAGCCTTACCTTGGTGGCCTGCAAGTTATCCGGGAAGCATTGATAGCGAAAGGTGTCCCAGAGTGTGCTATCACTACAACAGTGCGATCCCTAACTGAAGCTACTATTAAACAATATGGGTCTACATATAAGCTTTGGTGGACATTCTGCGATCAACACGACATCGACCCCTTTAAAGCAGACAAAGGGCAAGTCATTACCTTTTTTCAAAACTTGCTAGACCAAAGTGACAACAAATATGGTTCTTTCAATTCCCATCGAGCGGCACTCTCCTTGATATTACCTGGCAATATAGGAGAAGACTCCTTATTCAAAAGGTTCATGAAGGGCATCGCACGAGCGAGACCTCCCAAACCCCGATATGATTTCACGTGGGATCCAACACAGGTACTAGACTACCTTGAGAACAGTCCCGGAGACTCCTTAAAACATCTCTCACACAAATTGGTTACCCTACTGACTCTAGCAACAGGTCAACGGCTACAAACAATCTCTTTGATTAAATTATCGGAAATAAAAACCCACGATGGAGGACTCCAGATTTTTATTCCTGATCAGGTAAAAACAACCGGTGTAAATAGGCGACAACCATGTCTGGAAATTCCAATCTTCGAAGAAAAACCACAATTGTGCGTCGTGTCGACCTTAAGAAAATATATGGAAGTAACTCAGGAGTTGCGACGTACAAACGACAATCTGCTCCTCACCCTTACTAAACCCCATCGCTCGGCAAGCAAGGAAACTTTGAGTCGTTGGGTGAAGGAAACTTTAACATCAGCAGGCATCGACACAACTATTTTCAAGCCACACTCAACCCGCCACGCTTCAACTTCGGCCGCCTGCAGGCGCGGGCTATCATTAGATATTATTCGAACCGCGGCTGGTTGGAGCGAGAAATCAACAACGTTTGCCACCTTTTACAATCGGCCATTGGTCAAGAAGGGAGAATTTGCTCGCGTCGTGTTAGCTTGACCTTCTGGTATAAACTCTTTCAAGAGTATTTCGTTTTTTTTTTTTCAAGTTTTATTTCATTCATATCGGATAAAGCGTTAAGCCGTTAAATGTTATTTCTATTGTAGATGAAAATTTACAAACAGTTCGGAGTAAATCTTTAAACATCTACATAGTTAAACATTCTGTAACATCTTTGGACTGGACGATCGATATAATCACGATCGAACTTCACAGGTAAGTTCGTTTGATCGTTTAATTAATGAGGTACATTATTAATAATGCTATCAGTTGTTGACAGAAAAAAACAACTCTTGCTAGAGGAATACAACCACCAAAAATATAAATAAAACCATGTACCTAACACGAGACAAACAAGCGGTGATAAAAAAAGGCACGAAGTTAAGAATACTAAAATTGGTACCATTTGTGTTAACGTAACTGAAACAGCATAAAGTTATCGATTCCTATTTGTGGGGATTACAGATATTAGGTATATGGCAGTTTTTCCAATTTTATTCCTTTTTCGCGTCGCAAAATTTTATTATAGTACTTCAACGATACTTATCCCTAACACCATTGAATAAAAACACTATAAGAAGCCTAACCCCGTGGAAATAAAGCGCGACAGAGTTTGAACTGAGAATATAATGGGAACACTGTCAATAGAGTCGATTCTTGAACTGAGAAGAATGAGAATTTGCTTTCCTCCTATTTACCGCAAAGAGAGTTCGGCGGTCACAACCAATGCGGGTGCAAGGGGATTTGTGAGATTTGTCGCGCTTTCTTCCATAAGCGTTAGGCTTCTTATAGTGTTTTTATTCAATGCTAACACGCTATTGAAGAACACCGCCTGTTCACGTACAAATTGCTACAATTTTTCTTTTCCGCAATCGAAATAATAACGAGCCTAGTTTAACGCTCCTTTCGCACTTTGCACGTCGCCTTGATCGCTTCGTTTGGGGAAATAAAATAAGTGGAGTATTGTTTAGTAAAGGGAAGTGATTTCTGCTAGCGAGACTTTTCATAATGAACCGACCGACACCCGTAAACAATAGCCCTGCGGTTATGAAGTTCTAGATGCCTTGGCCTATGGTATGCAAATACGAATCAGTAACGATTTAACGTACGAGTAAGCACTAAAGTGAACTACACTTTCCTTACTAAATTATAGTCGGGTTTATTAGTATCTAATTCTGCGCGCCTTGGGAGGTAGAAACAGAGCATTTTGTGTCATCCATATCATAGACTTCTGCAATACCGATTAAGTTGTCAAATTCAGGATAATGCAGGCAGGAACCCTAACGTAACAATTCAAGAAAACTTATCTCGATCCCTACATCATCGTAACTGTTTAAGTGCCCATAACAGTCCCTTTAGTTAACAAAGTTATTACAAACATTATCATTTCATTCCTAAAGCCACAATTAGTAGAGTGGTATCATTTACTCTATACAACCTTTATGCTGCGTTAATGAATTAATTTTATCAATTATACCCACTCGTTACGAATAGTTTTACGATTGGACTTGGTCGGGAATCGTGCAGATACATAATAAGTCACATTTAGGAGGGTGAAGAATAAACTACAATTAACCATATCATAAAACAAATGAATTTTCAGGTACGTTTCAATTAGTACAATAATTTAACCAAACTGCATTGTGCACTTTTTAATACCGAAGATGAAACTTTTATTTAGATATTCCAAAGGTAATATTTAGCGCGCATCCACCACATAACACGCTAACCTTAATCACGAGCTTTGAAACTTTCGTAAATTTTGGACATTACGATTCCCGGTCAAAACGGTTTAACTTTTTTAAACGGGATTTAGATTGGTGAGCTTTTAATACAATAGGGTACATGGCAGTGGAAAAAGAATAAATAAATTTTGGTTTCCTACGATAGAGTAAGGTGTCAGGGTATCGCAAAATAACTTTCTTTGGTAATGTACACGAGAAACTATTATATGACGTCATTATCCTAATCCTCTGTGCGTTTGTAGAGTTTGTCTACGTTTTTTAATTTAGTGCTTGTTCCATTTTATAGTGATTATATTATCCTAAAGTTTAGTTTTTTAAAAACCAGATAAAATTGGAAAGTGGGTATACGAAAGCTCATAGCAGCAAATCTGCCAAACATTGATGAAATGATGTTGGAAATATTTCTTGCACCAAACACAGATTTTTGTTCATCAGAAAACTGCCACAAGTCTTGTAGGTTTTTAAGTTAAGCTTAAATTTTTTACAAGAAATGTAGTTATTTAAGAGGAATGTGTACTTAAAATGCTTCGTTTTTAGGTCATCGCTATGTCCACTTAAAGAGTTTTCTGTTACCAACTTTTTGTAGATAAAGGTCTAAATTTATAAAGTAGTTCTTAAAACAATTTTTTTTGGAAAAACAGTTTTTATGGCTAGCACTCTTATGGAACCTTACATTGGGTGCAGTCGAACAGAAGACTCTGGCAACTTATTCACAGTTAAGTCAAAATTTGCCCGCAACATACGGTTCACGCAAAGCTGTATGCAGTTTCCTTAGTTGTCGACGAAGACAACAATTATTTTCTTTACGCAACCATCAAGCTACTTTTACAACCCCTCAGAGTCCAAAGGAGTACTAGTGTCGATAAAATCTCCTTTATCACGTTTAACAAGTCATGATCTATAGTCCGATTATTCGAAACTCTATCGGCAAATGGCTCAATCGGATTCGGAAGTTGTCCAAATTGTCGTCTACCCCTACCGCACGCCTCAGAAGTTAACGTACGTGAAAAATGTGCTACTCATGTCAATATAGTTTTCTATATTACGTTTAATGAGCAATCGTCGAAAACCCTTTGGGATTTCTCTACTCCATGAAGCATTTGAATGATACAGCATCCTTGGAACCAGATTTACCCGCCTGGGATACTTAGCTGTGCCACAGAAAAATGTGACTACTGAGCTCTACACCACGACAAAGTGTACTCCATGGTAGGGCACCACTTACGGTAGTTATAATTCATCACGAAATCTTTTAAACTATACGCTGGGGTTATGTGTTTATAATTGTCAGGACTGTGACGTCACAGACACCGCCATGACACAAAACAGCGTTTTGGCGCTAGAATAAAAATGTACAATTTAAATTGCACAAATTGGCAATAATATGATTTATTTTGCTGTAATATCATATTTTAAAGTTACAGTAGAGGTATACGAACAGTTATAACTGGTTTTAAAAAATTTGTCATCTACCCTATTACCCCAACGACAAAAAATGCGGACCTCTCTAAAGGACCGTACTGGTCGCTTCGAAATTCAAAACGCGAATGCTTCCAAGTTTTCCAAAACCAATCCCCCTCTTGAGTAAAATTTTGAACGCCAACAATCGCGAATTGATCCTCAAAATGGCGATTTTTATTGGTTAGGTTTTTTTTTACTACCAATACTAAACGGCTGTTAAAGATCCAAAGTAATTCAAAACATGCACACCAGTACTTTCCACGGTGCGAGTTTATCTCATGATGAGCTATTAAATGTAATACTGTCTAGTCATTAAAAATATTGAATTTACACCCGATTGCCGTTATCTTGATGTAGACGTAGATGTAACACATATTTCGCTGACCGCAGTCATCCAGATAAATTGTCAAAGCGGAGGTTCCACATCCAGAGTCATTAAGATGCGAGCGGGATAGGACCGTGTCAAGGTTGAACAAAAAGTCAACGTTTCGCCCACTTTCGTAAGGGGCTTCATCAGAACCCTGATGGACTTCACACACTAACTGGTTTTCCTATTGCTTATCCTGATAGTTTTTTGTAACATTGCGGTTATCTGCTTTGGTTAATGGAAAGCCCAATTCTGCCACGATCCTAAATGTTTCTTATTCCTTACTAAGAAGCAAATCAGCAATTAAGGATCAACCTTGTCTAGTACAGAAGTAAACTTTACTTCTTTACGACTCGGATAGATAGTGGATTTTGATACGAACAAGGAAGATGGTGGCCAAAAGGCCACAGATAGTTTAGGTTTTGGTGTGATCGGTCAATAGCAATATAGTAAATTTAGATTTGGGTGTATTTTGGCGCAATAAAAATGTTATAGCATGGTGACCTTTCAGTGAGTTATGAAATTTGGGGTCAATAATTCGTAAAGTGGTAAATATTCCAACGAGGGTTGCGTGATTAAAAAACGGCCACTGGGAAAAGACGCAACAGATTTCACCGAAAACATTAAATACAACGCAAGGCTGCACATTTAAATGTGAATAATGAATAGATAATTTTTTCCAGGAAGCAACAAAATTGGAATGTATTAAAAATAAAATTATCCTGATTTTATAACCAAGATCGAGTGTATTTTAGGGAGACTAATAAAAGACAGTAAATTGCACAACCACTGTATATTTTACGCATGTCTACATGCATTTTTATCGCCGATAAACGAAAGCTAACTAGCTTTTAATCACTTTTAATCAATATCGTTGGAAGGAGATTCTAAAATTACAACCAAGTCACAACAAATATGCGCCAACACCAATAACGAAAAGTTTGTAGTCGAGCCCAAATAATGATCGCATTGTACGATTCGTTGTTGAAATTTGGGTTAAGCCATTAAAAACCTGTGTGGTAAAACGAAGTTTCCTTTGACGGTAGACAGTAGAGCATTCTGCCTGTAAATAGTTGCGGAAATCCAACAGCTGTTCACATATAAGAGAAATCCTAGCGACACTATCTATGTACACGAGGGAGTTTGCTAGTTTTGTACAAGGGAATCAACAATTCCAGGGGTAGTTAAAAGATCTTTTTTGTGTTCCGGAGGACTGGACGGAAACTCCCTGAACATATTGTTATAAACAAAAAACGAAGAAAAAAGGGGAAAATGTTGTTTTGCTCTGAGGGAAAAAATGAATAGAATTGAATTTGTTTAGAATCGAATTTTCTATAAGATACAGTTGTTGATTCGAACCGTTCATTTTCAAATGTTGTTTTTTATGGAAAAATATAAAAAATTTAATCCCAAAAATTATCAATTCGTTAATACTAAGTAAAACCGATCATTCTTGCAAATCGGCCGACTGTAGAATTCTTTTAGTTAACTAACAAATGGAATAACTCCTGAAATATAACAAGAAAGGTATCTCTATAATTATAGGCCCTTGGCACTCTGATTAATGAAAATCATTCATTTTGGTCAAATAGAAGCATAAAAAAAGTTCTCGTTCGGTGAGAGGATTTTTCGGATTTTGAGAAAAAAAACCACAGTACGTCGATTTGCAAGAATCATCGGGACACTTGTTGGAAAACGTTGTTTTGGGACTACACTATGTGTAAAGAAAGCCTCCATTTTGAAAGACAAGAAATAGTTTTCGTTAAGTTGTTTATTTTATAAGTCAATCAATCAATAAATCAATCATTTAATCGTCGAATTGTTGAATAACAATTATCGATACGTCAATAAATAAATACATACACATAGTAACTATATGGCAGAGTCAATATATTAAATTGACTATGAAACCTACGGCGATTGGGTTTGTCATATTGTTTTGTTATCTAAAGAATCGACCAAATACAGCTTTTCAAAAACATCAGTAGAACACGGACACCTCCCCCACCAGCGTTTGTGACAACATGACCTTGGGTTTTACAAAGTCATTTAAATCCCAAGATCATAGGGTTCCTCTAAAATCATAACCTTGTGATTCTCCAAGTTCATTGTGCTGGGATATCCAAAGATCGTGAGGCTGGGATTGCCTAAGGTCATTGTGGTGCGACCCAAAGTAATTGATCTGGGGCTTCCCCAAGTCGTGGCCTTGAAATTTGGTTTAAGGATATTCGACGTTAAATGCGAAAAAGACTACATTCTCCCTTTTTTCTTCGTTTTTTGTTAATAACAATATGTTCCGGGTGTTTCCGGCCAGGGGATTATGATTTTCGGATTGAGCGGGTGACAATATCCAGTTTAGACTACTTTTGGAGCTAATTTGACTGGATTACTGGAAAACTCAGTTTTCGTAACTGCGAAGTGGACCTGTAGGCATGGATACGCGGTGTTTTGACCCATGGAACTGAAAGGTCACCTACAACAGGTAGAATTGACAGGTGCACCTGTAGATTAATATATGTATACATTTGACATTAAAATCAAATCAAATCTTTGAACAAACTGCTAAAAATATTTGGAAGGTGGCAAATGATAAAAGTGTCATATGGTAGGTCAGGACAGAAAATAAGGAAGGAAAGTACTCGAGACAACATCTTACTAAGTAAGAACTCTAATTAGGAGACAATCTTATTGAGAGATAAGTCACCTTATCTAATTAACAGACGGTAGTTTATTAACAGACGGTAGTTTATTCTACGTGTCTGAACTTCGCCCCATTGGGTTGTACAAAAGTATAAGGGTAAATCTATATTAATTTTATTTCTAACCAATCTGTATCAACTCAATAAATGGCTATTATTATGGTCGGTGTTTCTTGTGAGAACTCTGGTCTAGCCTGGTTAACTAATCGCACGGATTAAAATCAAGTAACGATCAGTGTCTGTGTCTGTGTCTGGTGAAGTTATGTAGGGTCCTAAAAAAAAAAAAAAATCACACATGGGCACAATAAGCCAACGCTATCAGGAAAGAGGAAAACAAAACAAAACAAAAATCATTATAATAATTCCTGTAATTTTATTAAATGGAGTTTATTGTGTAAGTGTTTCTTTGGCTTTGCGTTTGGGTTGAATACGAGTGGGTTGTGATAACGTGGTGTTCTTCGGTGAGGATGGAGTGTAACTTTATTGGGTGGACCTGTCTTTGTGGTACATGTTGCCTTACTTGTATTTATGGTGTTTCTTTGTTCTTGAGGTTGTATTTGTGTTATTGCTTGGGTTATTGGTGGAGGTATTACTGTATTTTGTGAGCTAGTAGTGCTGTTTAGGTTTTTGCGTTTGGGTTGAATACGAGTGGGTTGTGATAACGTGGTGTGTTTCTGTGAAGAAGGAGTTATGTGTTTTTTAACTGTGCTAGGGCGTGTAACTTTATTGGGTGGACCTGTCTTTGTAGTGCATGTTGCGTTACTTGTATTTATTGCGTTTGTTTGTTCAGGAAGTTGTGTTTGTGTGGTTGGTTGAGTTAAGGGTGGAGATATTACAGTATGTTGTGTGTCATGTTGTGAGTCTAAAGTGCTGTTTAGGTTTTTGCGTTTGGGTTGAGTACGAGTGGGTTGTGACAACGTGGTGTGTTTCTGTGAAGAAGGAGATATGTGTTTTTTAACTGTGCTAGGGCGTGTAACTTTATTGGGTGGACCTGTCTTTGTAGTGCATGTTGCGTTACTTGTATTTATGGTGTTTCTTTGTTCTTGAGGTTGTATTTGTGTGGTTGCTTGGGTTATTCGTGGAGATATTACAGTATTTTGTGAGCCTGTAGTGCTTTTAAGGTTGTTGCGTTTCGGTTGAATACGAGTGGGTTGTTTCTGAGAGAGAGGAGTATTGTGTTTTTTAACTGTGCTAAGACGTGTAATTTTATTGGGTGGACCTGTTTTTGTAGTGCATGTTGCGTTACTTGTATTTATGGTGTTTCTTTGTTCTTGAGGTTGTATTTGTGTGGTTGCTTGGGTTATTCGTGGAGATATTACAGTATTTTGTGAGCTAGTAGTGCTGTTTAGGTTTTTGCGTTTGGGTTGTATACGAGTGGGTTGTGATAACGTTTCTGTGAAGAATGAGTTTTATGTTTTTTAACTGTGCTAGGGCGTGTAACTTTATTGGGTGGACCTGTCTTTGTAGTACATGTTGCGTTACTTGTATTTCTTGTGTTTCTTTGTTCTTGAGGTTGTATTTGTGTGGTTGCTTGGGTTATTGGTGGAGACGTTACAGTACTTTGTGAGCCTGTAGTGCTGTTAAGGTTGTTGCGTTTGGGTTGAGTACGAGTGGGTTGTGATAACGTGGTGTGTTTCTGAGAAGAATGAGTTTTATGTTTTTTAACTGTGCTAGGGCGTGTAACTTTATTGGGTGGACCTGTCTTTGTAGTGCATGTTGCGTTACTTGTATTTCTTGTGTTTCTTTGTTCTTGAGGTTGTATTTGTGTGGTTGCTTGGGTTATTGGTGGAGACGTTACAGTATTTTGTGAGCCTGTAGTGCTGTTAAGGTTGTTGCGTTGGGGTTGAGTACGAGTGGGTTGTGATAACGTGGT